GCTCGAGGCCGAGGCCAGAGAGGGAGACAGACGACGGAGCCAGCTCAACCTGCTCGACACGTCGCTGGAATCTCTGTCGCACGCCGCGTCTCCCGAGCTGTCCATGGTTGTGTTTGACAGTCTGCGCCGCAAGATCAAGCAGGACATCAACCAGGACAACATGGAGTTTAGTATCAGAACGAATTAATCGAAAGGTCGGTCGAGGTCGATCGGCGCGCGTTTCTCGGCCCCAGCCACCTCATGCTAAATTTTCTGCACAGCCCCGTGCAACAACGTAGTGGCAAACTTAGCAAGAACAAATAATAGCCATCGCTCGTATTTAACTCGGTGGTTTTAGTGTGTTGTAATTGTTGTTATGAACGTTATCAAGCTACAGGTATGTGTTTTTTTCGCAATGGACCAGCTAACTTTTCCTTAGAAAAAATTCCCTGTGTTGGAGCAGCAGGACCTGTTCAATATCATTGATGACTTCCGCAAGATCGACTTAGACGACAAGGGCTGGGTCGACAGGAAACAGGTGATTGAGGCCGTTTCCAGCGACGGCAAGGGCTCGTACGACGATATCAGAGAGACTTTGAAGCAGGTCAATGTGGATGCCTCGGGACATGTGGAATTGGACGACTTTGTAGAGCTGCATGCGAAGTTGAAGGAGAAAAAGCTCCAGCCACCTCCATCTGCCTCTTCGGGCGTCAGTTCTGGCTCTGCTGTGTCAGGAAGCTCCTCAGCAGGCGGCTTTGTTCACAGAGGTACCGGTGCTTCGGCCAAGGTTATCGTCACCGGCAAATCAGGAACGACGCACACTATCAACGATGAGGAGAGAATTGAGTTTACGAGACACATCAATGCTGTGTTGGCAGGAGATCCGCACGTCGGCGACAGATTGCCTTTTCCATTGGACACTTTCCAGATCTTCGACGAGTGCACGGACGGCCTGGTTCTTTCCAAACTGATTAACGACTCTGTTCCAGACACGATCGATACCAGGGTGCTCAACATCCCAAAGAAAGGAAAGAAACTGAACAACTTCACCATGCTGGAAAACGCCAACATTGTGCTCAACTCTGCTAAGGCCATTGGCTGCGTGGTGGTCAACGTGCACTCCGAAGATATCATTGAGGGAAAAGAACACCTGATTCTCGGTCTTATCTGGCAGATCATCAGAAGAGGTCTGCTCAGCAAGATCGATATAAAGCTCCATCCTGAGCTTTATAGACTGCTGGAGGACGACGAGACCCTGGAACAATTCCTTAGACTACCTCCTGAACAGATTTTGCTCAGATGGTTCAACTACCACCTGAAAGCAGCAAACTGGCACAGAAGAGTGTCGAACTTTACGACCGACGTGAGCGACGGAGAAAACTACACCATTTTGCTGAACCAGTTGCAGCCAGAGTCCTGTTCCAAGGCTCCTTTGAAGACGCCCGACTTGTTGCAGAGAGCCGAGCAGATTCTGGAAAACGCGGACAAGATTGGGTGCAGAAAGTACCTGACTCCTACTGCCTTGGTCGCCGGTAACCCACGTTTGAACCTTGCCTTTGTGGCTCATCTTTTCAACACTCATCCTGGCCTGGACCCTATCGAGGAGAGCGAGAGGCCAGAAATTGAGGAATTTGACGCAGAAGGCGAGAGAGAGGCTAGAGTCTTCACCCTGTGGCTCAACTCTCTGGAAGTTGATCCTCCGGTCGTTTCTTTGTTTGAAGACCTAAAGGACGGTACTATTTTGCTGCAAGCTTTCGATAAGGTGATGCCTGGCTCTGTTAGCTTGAGCCACATAAACAAGAGACCAGCATCAGGAAAGGAGATGATGAGGTTTAAGGCTCTGGAAAACACTAACTATGCAGTTGAGGTCGGAAAGGCCAACCGGTTTTCGCTTGTTGGTATTGAAGGTTCTGACATCGTGGACGGCAACAAGATGCTCACATTGGGACTGGTGTGGCAATTGATGAGAAGAAACATCAACAACACGCTCCAGAAACTTGCCTCCAACGGTAAGGAGCTCACGGATGCCGAAATCCTCAACTGGGCCAACACGCAGGTCACCAAAGGTGGCAAGAACTCCACGATTCGCTCTTTCAAGGATCCCTCGTTGGCCACTGGTGTTTTTCTGCTGGACGTGCTGAACGGATTGAAGCCAGGCTACGTGGACTACTCGCTGGTCACTTCGGGAGCTACCGATGAAGAGAGATATGCCAATGCCAGATTGGCCATTTCGATTGCTCGAAAGCTTGGCGCTTTGATTTGGCTGGTGCCAGAGGACATCAACGAGGTCAGATCAAGACTGATTCTGACCTTTGTTGGTTCCCTGATGTCCTTGAAGGTGTGATCATTTGTACTCTAAATTAGAATTTGGAAAATGCGTAAATTAATTTTTGGAATTTTATAAATCGAACTAGTCGTCTGCGTACACTTTTCTAGTATCTGCAATTTGGTTTTTCAATTTCTCATCCCATTGCAATTTCAGATCCTTGAAGTACTTGGCCACGTCTGCCTGGCCTGTTGCGTCGATCTCTGCGATCTTCAAGTACTCTTTGCCCGTGATGGTACATGCACTGCCGTACTTTTTCTCCTGCAGGTCCAGCTCCGGCTTGGCTTCTAGACAGACGAAAATCGGAGCGTTAGCGCCTTTCCAGCCCGAAATATTGTGCCACGGGGAGCCGCACAGCCTGGCCACGTAGAACATCAGCAGCATTCCGTAGAACGTGAGCGGATTGAGGTACTGGAAGAAGGAGAAGGAGGTGAATATGCCAGGATGCGTCAAGTACTGGTTGATGCCATACTTCGACTTGAGTTCTTTGTATGTACCCAGGTGGAGCAAGTCCACGAGCCGTTTGGAGCCCTCGTACGAGATGTCAGACCTAAGCAGCTGCAGATCGTCAAAGGACAAAAACGATGGTTTCGACATTATGCTCGAGATCCACACGACCCGCGGATTTTCAGAGTGCGACAGTAACGGCTCGGCCAGGTGCTGCACAAAGTAGTAAGGGCCAAACACGTTTGCCTGGAACACAAGACCCAAGCCGTCGGCAGACCGGACACCCACCTTCTGGATCTTGTACGTGGGGAAAGTCGAGGCCTGCACCGGGCTGGCGAGGACCTCTTTGGTGGCCTGGATCCAGTCTATTCCCGAGTAGACGCCCTGGGCAGCGTTGACAAAGAGGTAGTCGAGCTTGCGGTGCATTTTCTTCAACTCGTGGATCGCCGCGAGAATAGACACCATGTTGGAGAAGTCGACGAGGACGTAGTCGAAGTCCAGAATGGCTCTACGACGCACATGTTTCTCGTTGTGTTCTTTGATCTTGTTGATGGCCTCAATGGCTTTGGGCAGAGTTCTGGACGTGACAATGATGGTCAGTCTGGTTTCGGAAGGAACCTCGGCCAGCAGACGATACGCGATGTTGAGCCCCAGGTTGCTGTTGGTGCCGGTAATCAGGGCCACGAGACTCATGGAGAAAAAAAATAATGAACGAGTTACACAGCCTGACAAAACAATAATAGGCAAGCTCTGGGGCAACAGGTTGCTGCCCATACGTTCGTGATGTTTGGCAGCCAGCGGGTGGAGCCGGTCTGAAATACCGTCCGAAATCTCTCCTTGCGACCACATGCTGCTACACTCAAACCATGCGCCGCGCACTAACAATAAGAAATTGTTTCAGTTTCAAGACCGCCCTTTATCGTGCAGTACAGCGGGCCCTGCGACGCTGATCGGCAAGTGTCAGCAGTAATCGTGTCCTGACATGCAGAATATGAAACTCGCGGCGCTTCCAGACTAATCGGCCGCCAGTGTCTCAGAATCAACCTTATATATAGACACAGACGCTCCGGGGTCTATCCACGATGCACGCCAAACAATTTGTGTTCAACCTGAGAGACTATGAGGTCAGAGACATTCTGGGCGAGGGAGCCTACGGAGTGGTGGCGCTGGGCGTCCATCGAAGATCGGGCGCCACGGTTGCAGTCAAGAAGATCGAGCCGTTTGAAAGAGAGCTCTTCTGTCTGCGCACGCTCAGAGAAATAAAGCTACTCAAACACTTCAAGCACAACAACATCATCAGCATCCTCGACATCCAGAAACCCCGCGACTTCGAGTCCTTCAGAGAGGTGTACATTGTGCAGGAGTACATGGAGACCGACCTGCATCACGTGATCCGGTCGCAGACGCTGAGCGACGACCATGTGCAGTATCTGATGTACCAGGCTCTGAAGGGCGTCAAGTGTCTGCACTCGTGCGGCGTGATCCACAGAGACCTGAAGCCGGCCAATTTGCTAGTAAACTCCAACTGCGACCTCAAGATCTGCGACTTTGGGCTCGCTCGCGTCGGCAGAGACGATTCCGCGTCGGTTTCGGAATCCAAGGACTCCTTTCTCACAGAGTACGTGGCCACACGGTGGTACCGGGCTCCCGAGATCATGCTAACGTCCTCTCAGTACTCCAAGGCGATCGATATCTGGTCGCTCGCGTGTATCTTGGCGGAGATGCTGCTCAGGGAGCCGTTTTTGCCGGGCAAGGACTACAGACACCAGCTGCTTCTTATATTCGAGATTCTGGGTACGCCCACTGGAGCCGACTTCCAGTCGATCAAGTCCAAGCGTGCGAGAGAGTACATTCGCTCGCAGAGGTTTTTCAAGAAGATTCCTCTTCGAAAAATATTTCCGCATGCCAATCCGTCCGCCGTGGACTTAATGGAGAAGATGCTAAAATTCGACCCGTCTCAGAGACTCACCGTGGAGGAGGCGCTAGAACATCCGTACTTCAGCGCGTACCGCGTCGCCAAGGAGGAGACTACGGCCGTCCCAATACCAAAGGACTTCTTTTTTTTCGACGACTGCAAAGAGCAGCTCGAGATGATTGATCTGAAAAGAATGCTGTATGCTGAAATCCTAGCTACCTAATTTAGTGATAACAAAAAATGGGGGGGCTTTTTACTGAGTGGGTTTAGGTGTGGCAATCTGGTTAAATAGAATATTTAAGTGCAACAGTAGGATTATCTGGCAACTTTTCTATGATCAATGCACGCAAGCAGAGAGTGCTCGCTATCGCCGCACTGTGCTTTCTGATCATTCTGTTCGTGTCCGTGACCAACACCGGCGAGAAGAAGCCACAGCTGCTTGCTGGAGAGCGGTCCTATTCTCCCACCCCGGGCAACAATAAGCTGGCCCAGGCTGGAGGAAACGTGAACCAGCTGGTCAAGGACAAGTCGGGCGTCATCGACGAGTCGAAGGTGAAGCAGGCAGAGGAGTTTTCCAACGTCAAACCTCCTGTGAAGGCTCCTAGTGGCGACTCGTCGCAGAAGAAGATCTCGGCAGACATATCTAAAAAAGCCGGATCGGCCAAGGAACATCTGGCCATCAAGGATCAAAAGGGGATGGCCAATACAAAGGAGCTGAAGGCATCCGACTCAAGGGATTCGTTTGGAAACAGCGTCGCCAAAGATGACGCCAAAGCGGATATCCAGCGTTCAAAAATAGACCCTAAGAAACTGGTTGACTCGGACGTCAAGAAGGTGGCGGACAGTGAGGAGAGTTCCGAGTTCGACCCGGCCAAGGAATTCAAGGAAATTCTCAGTCTTTCGCCGGTGGCTATATTCTCCAAATCTTACTGTCCATACTCTAAAAGACTCAAGGACCTGCTGCAGACGAGCTACGACATCACTCCCCAGCCTACCGTTGTCGAGCTGGATCTCCACGAGCACGGCAAGGAGCTCCAGGACTATATTGCCTCGGTGTCAGGCAGAAGAACCGTGCCGAACCTGTTTGTCAACGGCGTCAGCCGCGGTGGCTCGGACGAAATGAGCGCTCTGCATGCAGACAACAAACTTCTCGACGAGCTCATTGCATGGGGAGGCCCAAAGGTCAAGGTGGAAAAGATCAATCGGCCGTCGAACTCGTGATGACCACGCTTACGTAACTTTGATATATAACTATTTTATCATGTACGCTTCACCTACTATAGACAGCATTGACGGCAACGTGGCCATTCGGAGGCCAGATTACCTTTCTCGTGGCATTAGACAGCCGTCGCAGAGTGTACAGCAGCTTGTGAAGAGTCTTGGCCTTGCCAAGCACCAGGAAGGCGGGTATTTCAAGGAGACAGACAGATCGCCGTTTTACATGGAAAGCCCGTACTACCCAGGACATAACAGGGGGACTGAAGACGAGCCTCTGAGACCGGGAAAGTCAGCAGAGCCGGTTCTGCCTCACCCAGAAGACGCGCAAAAGAAAATTGCTCCCTACAGACACACTTCAACCTTAATTCACTATTTATTGACTTGCGATGCCTATATGGGAAGACTCCATAAAAACCATTCTCGCATAATTCATATCTTACAAAAAGGCCGTGGCCAATACGTCTTGGTGTACCCTGACGGCACCGTAAAGTCGTTTGTTGTTGGCTTTGATGTGGAAAAGGGAGAGGTGACTCAATGGGTAGTCCCCGGAGAGGTGTACAAGGCCTCATTCTTGCTGCCGTTGAATGACGAGCCATCCGCTGACGACCATCTGCTGATCAGCGAGGTTGTGGTTCCGGGCTTCGAGTTTGATGATCACCGGTTTATGCAAAGCTACAAAGAGCTGGAGGCGCTGGTTGGAGACCGTGCCGAGGAGCTCAAATGGCTGCTCGAGGCCAACTGAGAGCTGCCACCAGGCGTATTTTCCTATCTATACACGTGACTTACACGTGACGTGAAATCAACCCTCGCCGTGAAAAAATACCCAGCCGGTTTTTCACAATTAAAATTTTCAAAGTTTATTGGACTAGTTTAATAGATCAACATGGCTACTGAATTGACCGTGCAGTCTGAGAAGGCTTTCCAGAAGGTAAGTTACAGAGATAGATGATGCGACAACGCCTGCAGTGAACACGGACGAAAAGGACCGCGAAGAAGCTGAATTCGACCGCACAGGACGTTACCAGTTGAAACTCGTATTTTGCCTGGCTCCTTGGGATTCTCAAGTGCAGCGTTGTCCTCCCAAGTACTCTAACACTCAGCAACCACACATCTTCACCAACCCAAAGGCCAAGGCCTCCAAGAGAACCAAGAGATGGTACAAGGACGTCGGTCTGGGATTCAAGACCCCTAAGTCCGCTATCGAGGGTACCTACATCGACAAGAAGTGTCCTTTCACCGGTACTGTCTCTATCAGAGGTAGAATTCTGACCGGTACTGTTGTGTCCACCAAAATGCACAGAACCATCATCATCAGAAGAGACTACTTGCACTACATCCCTAAATACAACAGATACGAGAAGAGACACAAAAATCTCGCTGCTCACGTTTCTCCAGCTTTCAGAGTTCAAGAGGGTGACATTGTGACTGTTGGACAGTGCAGACCACTTTCCAAGACCGTTAGATTCAACGTTGTTAAGGTTGCTTCTGCTAAGGGCAAGGCCAAGGCTTTCACCAAGTTCTAAGTTAGTTAGATGTGTAATCAATCATAAGGATGAGTAGTGAACAATTTCGGCGGTAAGCCGGTGCAAGGATGCGCAGGCAACTTTTCTTGCCCTCGCAGCTGATAAAATTTTTCCTCCAAGTGGTGAAGTCACTTACCCTCTCACCTTTGTATCTTACCCTGTCTTGAAGGGTAACTCAGTATATTTGATAAGATCAGGCCGGAATTTTGATGCTGGATCAGCAACACCAGGAGGCACAGGAGCAGATCGGAGGTGCTCGCGCCCTGCTGGAGCTGGGCACAAAACAGAAGGAAGGCGGAGATCAAAACAATGACGTCGACCAGCAATCCAAGCACGACGAAGAGGACGAGCCACTTGACAGATCGAGGAAGCGGAACTTCTCTAACGACGACGACATGTCGCAACTGGAATTCCAGCAGTGGACCACTGGATTTTTGGCGGACGACTTGGAGGGCCAAGAAGGAGACAACGACGCCGACGGTTACCATTTTGGAAACCAGTCTGGGCTCGGAATCCCGTCATTGAGTCAGAACAGTTCGAAGAGACCAAAGAAGACCTCGCGAAAGGATACGAACGGCGTAAGTGGCAGGAATAGCGCCCCATCCGCCAGTAACGTCCACGCCGTGAGAATAAAAAATATCAACGTGGACCCGGAATTGGCCAATCTCGACACCTCTTCATTTGTCCAAGATGCCATGATTGATGCCAGAACCCTGGCCAGTCTGGGATCTATTGACCACGAATATCTGAGACACGCTGCAGAGGGTGCACACTCAGAGTCTGCTGAGGATGAGGTTCAGCATTTGGCAGTGCAGGCTGTTAACCAGGCTGTTGCTGCCGCGCAGGCACAGGCTAATGCTGTGATGGATAAAAACGATCGCCAGTCGAATGGAGAAGCACACGACAGAAAGCATTTACCGACTCCGCCCTTGCAGTCCGACTCTCAGCAGGACAGGTCTGGGTCCCGAGGATTGACTCCTTCGGGCCATCAGTTTTCCGTGCCAAGCGCAGAGACAGCCGCGCTGGTTGCCGAGGCTGCTGAGAAGGCGCGGAGCTACGTTACTGTTCATTCGCAAGGACGCTCGTTTTCAAAAGAAGAGTCGAACGCCATCGACTTGTTTATCACAGAATACCAAAACATCAACAATATGTCCAGAGAGGAGATTTGCAAGCGCATTTGGTCGAACGAACGGAAAAAGGACGACTTCTGGGAATCGTTGCAGAAGGTGTTGCCCGAGAGAACGCGAGCCTCGTTGTACAAGCACGTCCGCAGAACTTACCATATATTTAATGTCAGAGGAAAATGGTCGCCCGAGGATGACGAGCGGCTTGCCCAGCTGGCGGCCAAGATGGAGGGCCAATGGAAAGAGATTGGAAAGGAGATGAACCGAATGCCCGAGGATTGCAGAGACAGATGGAGGAACTACGTCAAGTGTGGAAATAATAGGCTAAGACACAAGTGGTCTTTGGAAGAGGAAGATAAGCTTCGGACCGTGATCCATGGCATGCTGCGGGAGCAAACAGCCAACTCTGAGTCGATGGGCGTTGAGCCAGTGATTAACTGGACCCTCGTCAGTGAGAGAATGGGCGGCACACGCTCTAGAATCCAATGCAGATACAAGTGGAACAAGTTGGTGAAGCGCGAGGCTGGAAACCGTGCGCGAAGCGTAGACTTGGAGACCAGAAACTGGTTGCTTGCCCGGTTGAGAGAGATTTGGAACCGCGAGGGTACAGATTCCATTGATTGGGATACCTTGGCATCCTTGCACCCTAGCAATGTTTGGTCGGGTGTGGATTTCAAAAAATGCTTCGAAAAAATGAAGTCCACCGTTCCCGGCTACAAGAAGAAACCATTCATTGAGATTGTCGACACTTTACTTCAAGAAAACACAGAGAACTATTTTGACTCCGAGAACAAGAGCGAGGACAAGAAGAAGGAGGCGGACAGGCCGGACTCCAAGAAACCCGACGCGGAGGTGTCGCTCTCCGAACTTCAGGATTTGGTGAAACGTGAAGTCGAGGCTATTGAGTTTCAGTAATGTATACATCGATGTAACTATCTGACATAAACTACAAACTGCTTTTATGGGGCTCAGTAAAAGACGGTACTATATTTTTGTTCAGCCCGTTCGGTCCGTTTAATTTGTTTTGTCAGTATGTAGTTGATTTTTCAGATAAATTAAGCTGCAGAATTTGTATCTGGACGTTTTTTTAAAGAAAAATAAATCCTTTGGAGCTCACCATTTCCGTTAATGCCAAAGCTAGACGATACGAAAAATAACAAACAGCGCAAGCGGAATAGAGTCCCTATTTCCTGCACAATATGTCGTCGCCGTAAGGTGAAGTGCGATAAGAAAAAGCCGGAATGCACCAATTGTATAAAGAACGGTGTCCAGCATTTGTGCAGGTATTTGGAGCCAAGTTGGGCCAAACCTTTGAAAGAAAATGAGCTACATTTTCCTGGCGCCACGGTAGCATCGCAAACCCGGGAATCATCGATAGATTTTGTTGACAGGGACGAGGAGATGAAGCGATTGTTGGCGAGAATTAGAGAGCTGGAAAATGAAAATGCCGAGCTCAAGCGGAAAAAGGCCAAGCCGGGCACCTCTAAATCCTTGCTACGCAGTACCGATGACCTTGTTGATTTCATCAGAAACTCCAATATCCTCTTTACGGCGAAAAAGGGCCCTACCTATAATTTCCCTATCATCTATCAAATAAGCGTCTTTTCCTGGATGTTTGTGGTCAGAAACGATTCCTACCTCAATGACCTATGGCTCAAGATACTGAAACTACGCAAACACTATGAATACTATTACAGCAGCAAAAACGCGATGGTCGATGCGTCGAAATCGCTGGAGACCGACTATACAAACTACGATTTCAAAATGAGCCACATTCGGCAGCAAAATAAAAACCACGAGGTCCCGGAGGAGAAGAGCAACGAGCACACAAGCAAGCTCAAGAAGTTCCTTGAGACAGCCATGGTTCTCAACAAGCCACAGTCCGAAGCCAAGTGCCCAATTACGGGAGAGTCCGGCGTTTGCCCTGCACGGGAGTCTCCTGCTGTAGGAAAATCAACAGCCAGGGTGAGAAAGTGCCCGGTTCTTCATCCCGAGGACTCTTCCGAGGGCGCCTTGAACTACTCCAAGGATGACGACGAGGAAGACGAAATGGAAGACCCAAAGGTGTGTCCGCTGATGATAGGCGACGCCAGGGCCTTGTTCAAAGAAAAGCTTTCGAGAATGTCTGTGTCTGCGATCAGAGACCTTCCGCACTCGAAGTCTCCAAAAGTGACGTCCATTTCCGCCGACGTCGTCGAAACTCCTACTGGCACTGCCGTTGCGTCGCCTAATACGGCAGAAGACGAGCCGGCTCTGTCAGGGCCACAGGAGCCACGCAGCACGATCGACGGGTTGCAGAGACTTAACAAAAGCAACGGCGCGAAAAAAATCAAGACAATCTCGCCATCTGCAATCAAGAACCTCAACTACAATAACACCAAACAGGTGATTGCGGTGATCGAAAAACACCTGCCGGACCGCGAGGTTGTTTGGTTGCTGATTGACAGATTTTTTGAAAAGCTTTATATTCACCTCCCTTATGTTGACGAAGAGAGTTTTCGGGCTAGGATTGCGTCGATCATCGATGCCACCGACGGCTCGTCGCAGAGAATCCGGCTGGGATCCATTGGATCGCAGTATTGCGAGGAGTTTCTGAACGTGTGTCTACTGTTGATCATTCTGCGTTTGAGTTGGTTGTCCCTGCCATCCAGAATGTCTGACTCGCTCTCGCTGGAAGAACAGGTGATGATGAGACCCGAGAACATCATCACGATGGTGTTGGTCGATATGGTGAAGGAGATCTTCTCCAGTGCCAAGATTATGAGCAAGCCGTCCTTGATCATTTTTCAGGTTGGGCTGTTTTTGAAGCTGTACAATATTCTGTCGCCAGAAGATGGATTCGACCTCGAGGACTCTTATTCGAACACGAACACGACGTTGCTCAACTCCAACGATCTCAGCGGAGACCTCACGAACGAAAATCCAAATATGAACGCTCCTAATTTCATGTACATGCTGATACAGCTGGCGAAAACTATTGGGCTGAATAGAGACCCTCTCAATTTCAAGAACTTCTACCCGGCCACCGACGACCCTGTGTCAAATGCCAGACTGTTCAGAAAGAGACATCTCTGGAGAAAACTCTGGTACGGTCTTCTGGCATTGAGCATTGAGAGCAACCTCAGCCTCGGAGACTACAAAAAGGGACTTCCGATTGAGGTCGATATCGACCCGACTTTGGGGTCTGTGAACAGGACCTGGGATTGCCGGCTTCCTGGAGGAGTGGAGCAGGGTGTTTTGGAAAAGAGCTTCAATAGGGCACTGTTGGAAAAAGAGCAGCTGGTTGTCACAAACTTCAAGGACTCGATTCTGGTGTACCATCTTCTCTATAAGGGAATGAGCATTTTGTTTTCGGTGGACTCCGTGCCTACTTCCAGAGACTTTGACCAGATCATGGCCAAGTTGCTGGACCTCATTTCCGACCGATCACGGATCAAGCTGAACATGGCTTCCTTCCTCAACAACGAGGACGAGACGCCGTTGGACCACTGCGTGAAGATCTACCGGTTCAAGTTGCACCTGGTGATCAAGTCGATGCTTTTCGCTCTGAACTACCTGCTTTTCTTGAACCATGAACAAAAGTTCAATAGACTCATTTCCGACAAGAGTTTTACCGTGAACAAGCTGGAGAAACAGAAAGAATACATGAACACGTACTTTGAAAGCTGTCTGCTGCTTGCTGTGGACAACTACGATATCTTCAACCAGATCTACGAAAAAAGCGATACGCTCTACCCCAGCTGCGGCTCGCAGCTGATTCTGTATCCATACCTGCTGATATTGAACCATCGTTCGCACGAATTCCTCATCTCGCTAATTCTCCGGCTGCAGCAGAACTCGCCGATCGTGATGGAAATTCTCAAAAGAAACAACATAGACAAGGACGAGCTGTTGAGCCGTCTGTTCAACTATCTGCAGTCGTTCTTGGACAAGCTGGAAGACCTCACTAAGCTGTATTACTATGCCTGGAGACTGAAGAAGATGGTCAAGTTTTTCCACAACATCCTGGCGAACTCGACCAAGCTGTTCAACCTCAACTTCAAGACCCTGGGCGAAAGCGAACAGAACAAAGACGAGATCACGTTGCAGACACCGAGGGTGTCGCAGCCGTTGCAGTTGCACCAGACCCCTAGGCCGATCAAGCGCGAGCCGACAAACGCGTTCGAGATCGCGTTCGGTACCTCGAAGCTGCCGCCGGTTACCGACTTCACAGGCGCCAACGACCCGGCTGCTCAGCCGGCTCCAGAGCAGGTGGAGCCAAACGTCAACGCTGCTTCGATGCCGGACATGTTCGACGACATGTTCTTCACCGAGTTGTCGGATATCAACGGCATGATGGCCACTGACACGATCCCGAATCCGATGATGGACGTGCAGCAGATGGGGTCTCCGGGCCATCCGATGGGCAGCGGAGTGCCGGGCCCTGGCTTCCACAACTCTCTGAACGAGATCGACTTCACCAACGTCGATCTCACCTCACAGTTCGACAACTACCCGATGAACTACGAGAGCGCGTACCCGAACGGGCTGGGAAACCTCAATTTCCATTTCGGCTGAGCCTGCTTTATAATATACGTACACGTTATGAACAGACTTTATGATTTTAGACCGCCTGCTCGGAGTTAAGGTGTGGCCGAGACAGGGAAAAACTATTGTCGGCAATAAAGAAATGCAAAGTCCGCAAAAGAGCGTCCTTCCCGATATTTCGTTTGGCCACATGAGTAGCACAGAAAATACAGCGGAAACGCGCGACGCGCGCCCCAAAGCCAAACGCAATAGACTGCCGCTCTCGTGCACCATCTGTCGCAAGCGCAAAGTCAAGGTAAGTATAGGTTGTCGTTCTGCTAACCCCCAGTGCGACCGAGGACGTCCACACTGCAAGGTGTGCGAGAAGTACAAAGTGGCGTATCTGTGCTCATACCAGGACTCCTCCTGGACGGCTGAGAAGAACGACAGGTCGTCGTATCCCCAGATGGCCGCGACGCCCGACTCTCCGATGTACAGCAACAAAGGTTCCATCGATCAGTCCACAAGCGTTGTGTCGCCGTTCAACCACCTTCCGTCGCAGTTTGACACGCGCGAGCCCAAAAGACAGCATCTGTCGCCTGACAGAGCGTACATTGAGAGCCACCACCGCTTTAACAGCTTTGTGTCCACGTCGCCGTACGTCGTGCCATCTGTCAACCACAACGGCTCGAACGAGCGTACCACCTCCCAGCCCCCGCAGGGACTGGCCCAGGACGCCGATAAGCCTGTGATAAACGAGCTCCAGCTGCTCAAGGAGAAGATCAGACAGATCGAGGCGTCGATCGCCGTGGCAGACCTGTCTCAGCCGAGAATACACAATCCTCCGCATCTGCCACCCCTGACGCCACAGGTGCCGTCCCAGACACCGACGCCAATTGCCGCGCCCGTGCCGTACAGAACCCAGCTGCCGCCGATTCAGTCTTGGAATAGCAACAAGACGTACAATCTGCCCCCGCTCAAGTCCTCGCCTCACGTGCCGCAGCAGGAAGGCAACGTGGCGAACTCGGTGGTGCCGCCGGACTCGGGCATGGACCCGGCGGACGCCTTCAACTTCTACGACCACTATGTGCCCGTTCACCTTCTGCACGCGCGGACCAGCAATCACGGGCCGCTAATGTGGGTGACCATGGTCAAAAAAGACCAATTTCTGCGTCCCCTGTGGTTCAAGATCGCCGAATATAGGAAGAAAAATAAGCTGCCGGCGGTTCTGCAGGCTCAGCTGTCCGGTAACGTGGGACCCGAGGAAAAGGAGTTCAGACAGAAAATCTACGAGACCGAAGGAGTGGTAGATGTGCTACCGTACAAGTCTGACAAGAAAGAGAAATTTGCGTTCCTCACTGTGGAGCAGATGCGAGACTATATTCGCAAAGACGTGGCTCTGAACCTGTACACAAACATGGACCCCGACGCTCGCACGATATCGCAGATTTTGAAGTCGCTTCCGAACAGAAAGGTGCTGTGGCTTTTAGTGGACAGGTTTTTCAGGTTTGTGTATCCTTTCATCCCGATCTTGGACGAAAAGACGTTTGTTGCCGACACCGAGGCAATTATCGGGCCTCGGGAGTACGAAGAGACAGAAATCAAGACGCTGAAGATCTGCCGCAGACTGAATTTTGCTACTATAGGCTCGCTTCTTATCATCTTGCGCATGGCCCACCTGTCTCTCCACTCGAACTACGAGGAAATAAACGAAATGCCAGAACGATCCGAGGAGGAAAAGTACTTGCTGCAGCACCCGATCGATATAGAAGTCATTTCCGTGGCTCAGCTATGTCTGAATCACTTCAAGCTGCTAAAACGGTTGGCTCTTAGCGCTTTCCAGTGCGCGCTTCTGATGAAAGAGTACCGGTTTATTGCTCCCGAGGACGGAAGCGATGGGTTTGGAGACGGCGAGGGCCAAATATTCTCTGGCATGCTGACACAGATGGCAATCTCCATCGGCCTGAACAGAGACCCGGACCACTTTTCCATGGTGCACGATTCCAAGAACCTCAACAATCTCTGGAGGAAAATATGGTTCAGACTGAGGGACTCGGATGTGCACCAAGCGTCTCAGATGGGAAACCCGCTCATGATACGTGCTGACCAGTTCGACACCAAGATGCCAGTTTTTGACTCGGAGCTGTCGAACACCTCAGACCTGGCCCTGGAAGAGGTGGTGATCGAGTGTCTGAACGAGCGTAGCGATCTACACGACCTGATTTCCGATCTCACGAGCAGCGTCCTTGACATCACTCAGAAATCGACTGTGGAGGCCCTCCTGCTCAAGATAGAGGCCATCGAAAGCTTCATCAAACGCCGTTTTGGCTCCGTCAAAGACATCCTGACTCTCGACAAGGGGAGCCACCTGGAAAACATCAAGAGAGTGTATCGGATCATCGGCTATTTGGAGGCCCGCTCGTTGGTGCATCCCGTGCTGTACCATATCTTCCTGTTTTACAGCTGCAAACCGAATTTGCGGGCTTGCTCGTACCTGATGAAAGTCATCCTGCAGAAAGTGGTTGAAGTCAACTCGCTCTTCATGCAGCTTCTCAAACGCAACTACTTGTTTTTCGGACTGGGCTTCGATCTCATACTAACTCCTATCTTAGAGTCTTCGATGCACAAAGCACTACAGTTTCAGTTCTCACTTTTCATTCGCGCGCGCCACCACAAGCAGCAGCTTCTCGCACAGTCCCCCCAGCCCGACCGGAAGCTGATTGGCCTCATCACTAAGTTCACAGACGACACCATACTGCCAAACATCAGAATATATCTGCGTGGCCTAACTCTGATCTCGAAAAAATACTTTTACGCCTGGAGAATGAGCAAAGCACAAAACATTATTCTCAAGCTGATGGAAGACCCAGATACCTTTTTCACCGAGAAAGAGCTTTTCAACAATGCACCAGATATCTTTGAGGGGTACACAGCGGCAGACTTTGAGCTGCTGGCGGAGCTAGGGAACATGAAGCGCTATGTCGTGCATCCTGCTACCAGCGATTGTTCTTTGAGTCAGGACGTTCCAGACAACGTCGCCAGCAGTGGGTCTGAGTTCCTTGACCCCACTCCAGACAATCAGGAAGTCGACAACTTTTGGCTGGAGCTCATTTTCCGGTTCAACTCCATTATGGCCTCGAAAAACGTCCCTCCACCCGAGTCCATGCCTGAAAGCGTATGGACGGGCTCGTTCGAGGGCCAGACGCCTGGCGGCTCCCTCGAAGATACGTCAATATGGGGAGGCTTGCCGCAAGCTGAATGCGCTATCGAGATCGACCAGCTTTTCAATGACGCTCCCATGTTTGACGATGTGAATTTTCTCAACTCCGATTTGCTCCAGGAAAAATAGATGAGATTAATTCTCCATTAAATAAAATATATCGTAAGGCCTTTCTCGGCATGCTCCTGAGAAATTTGAAAATTCTGCGTAAGGGGTTGCGCTGGAACAGCACTGGGGCGCAAGCAGCCCGACCTAAATCCAGGGCATCGCCCTTGACGGGGCATTATGTCGGGTTCGGCCTTTTGGCAGTGACCATGACTGGCCTTGTTTACAACGATGACATGCGACAGCGCACTGTGGAGACTTTTCTTATCGCCGAGCGCGTGGGCGCTGTTGCGATAGCCACCTCAAGATGCTTCGCTATGTATCTGAGAACTCTCAACCGCGAATACGACACCAAGGAGGAGTACTATCAGGCACTCTCCAAAACCCACAAGCAGGCTGCAGAAACGACTCTGCAGGCTCTACGCAAAAACGGAGGAATCTACATCAAGCTGGGTCAGCATATCTCGGCTATGTCCTACTTGCTCCCGCCAGAGTGGACCAACACAATGATTCCGCTGCAATCTGAGTGTCCCGAGTCTTCTTTTGAGGAGATGAAGGAAATGTTTGAGCATGACATGAATATCTCGCTGGACGATTATTTCTCAGAATTCGAGCCAAAACCCATCGGAACCGCCTCGCTGGCACAAGTGCACATTGCCACGTTGCGCGAAAACGGGCAGAAAGTGGCAGTCAAGCTCCAACACCCGTCGTTGGAGAGGTTTGTGCCTCTGGATGTGGAGCTGACAGCGATGGTTTTTGATGCCATGAAAAAAGTCTTTCCCGAATACCCCCTGACCTGGCTTTCCGACGAGCTGCGCCAGTCCATTTTCGTCGAGCTGGATTTCCGCAACGAGGCAGAGAACGCCAAGATCACCGCAGATTACTTCAAAGACTACAAGTCGCTGACTGCGTTGCGCATTCCGAACGTTCACGCTGCAAAGCGCCGAATACTGATCATGGAATACGTATCAGGCACCAGGTTGGATGACTTGGATTATCTGGACAAACACAACATATCACGGTCCGATGTGTCCAGCTGTCTTTCGCACATCTTCAATAATATGATATTCCAGGCTGGCTTTGTCCATTGCGATCCGCACCATGGAAACCTTGCCATTCGAGCTCTTCCGAAAAGGCAGAACGGCCACAATTTTGAAATCGTCCTTTATGATCATGGCCTGTACCGTAGAATACCCTCTCAGATGAAAGTTGACTACGCGCGGTTCTGGCTTGCCATGATTGAGAAAAAGCCAGACGAAATGCAGAAATACGGAAGGAGATTTTCAAAGATCGAGGACGAATCGCTGTTCCCTGTGTTAGCTGCGGCTTTGACGGGCCGCGACTTTGAACATGCGCTGAGCGGCAACATCGCAACACCCAGGAGCCAGAAAGAGATTGAGGTGATGAAAAGAGCCCTGACCGACGAGGGTGTTTTGCTAGATCTAATGGCCCTTCTGGCATCCGTTCCGCGAATTGTGCTGCTCATTATTAAAACCAACGACTTGACTAGACACTTGGATGAAGCATTGCAAAACCCATTGGGCCTGGAACGGACTTTCTTCATAATGGCTACCTATTGTGCGAGGGCAGTGTACGCTGATGATACCGCGAGACTTCGCGAGAAATGGTCCATTTTCTCCGTCCATCGACTTGTCGGCTCTCTCACTGCATTGTGGAATCTGTACAGCCGAATCTTCCTTCTGACCTTTTACGACGTTGTGTTCTATGTTCGTGAGCTGCTCTAATGATTTCAATGAGCACCCTCGCACCGAATGTGTATAGTGAATAAAATTAACATAGAAAAGTCAACTTTTGTTTAGCATTTTAATGTCGACTCTGGCCAACCAGGGCGCGATTCAACAGAGGAGCCATTCACGCGGAAATGGATCTCAAGGCCGAGGGAGCTCTTCTGGGCAGGCAAGGATTCCACACAATCCGGGACGCAACGGCCACATAAACCGTGGGGGAGGAAGAGGCAGGGGAGGACTCAAGAAAACGAGACAATTTCCGCGAGTAGATAAAGCCTCTGCTGGCGCCTCAGCAATGAACGATGCTGATCTAGGGCCATTGATTGAAAATCCAGAACAATATGGCTACACAAAAATGGAGCACAGGACTCAGGGGATACCGAAATATTTGTTGAAAGAGCAAGTGCTGTTCAGCTGTGACTCGTACGTGACCAACGAATGGGATGCAAACAACCAAAAATTGATGCTGCAGAAAGAGGCTGAACACAACGGCGACTATCAGTCGTTATTCGAGGAGTTCCAGGAGCTGCGGAAGGAAGAGAGAAAGAAGATGGAGCAGATGAATTTGGTTGACGTTGAAAATGCAAAGAAATCACTGAATGACGCCATTATATTCCGTGGGAGTTGCACAGATATGTGTCCGACGTACGAGCGAGTTGAGCGCGCCTTTAAAAATCAGGTCTCGAAATGGGAGAAAGACCCTGCCACGGGGAAGATATCTCGAGACTATGCAGTGAAAACGTTTATGAGGCCTTCTGGGCAACCTCCATCGTTGCCTTCTGATGTTCGAACCCCTAGCGTTTTAGTGCAAACGCTCGATTACCTGATCGAAAGGCTGCTGCCGAAGCTGCCCGAGTCGCAGTCATTTATATGGGATAGAACTCGCTCGATCCGACAAGATTTCACGCTTCAGAACAATTATTCGGGCCCCGAAGCGATCGACTGCCACGAAAAGATCTGCCGAATTCACATACTATCGTCCCACGTCATGGCGCAGGCAAACGATCCTGACTATCAACAGCAACAGGAAATCGAGCAGTTCAACAACTCGCTACAATCACTAACTCATATGTACGATGATGTGAGGTTAAGGGGCGGTAGCTGCCCCAACGAGCCAGAGTTTAGGGCATATGAGCTTATATCCAAGCTAAAAGACACCGAACTGGACAGAAATATTCAAAAGCTTCCAGCAGTCATTCTCAACAGTGGAATAGTTCAAAAAGCATTGATGTTGCGAGGACTCATAATAAACGGCTTTGGCAATTTTCAGATGTTTGTTGAGTTTTTCCGTGTCATAATGGACCCAAGCACGCCGCTGCTGCTTTCGTGTCTCTGCGAAATCCACTTCAACCAAGTAAGGCATATGGCCATGGTCACCATGGCCAAAGCGTACCACTCCAAGTCAAAGAAAATGCCCGAGGCTTCAGTTTTAGCTGATTGGCTTGGCTTCGACTCCGTTGATCAGTTGGTGACGAGCTGCAAGTTTTATGATATTCCTATAATAAACGATGATAATACCCTTAGAGTCGAAGTCACGGCATTACGACAAGCATTCAAATCATATCAAAAGCCTCCAAGCTGCTCGAAACTCAATTACAAAATGGAACATATATCATACCAGCAGATAGTGAAATCTGGGCTTCCTAACACCGAGATAAAAGTTAGCGCGGAGACCACCTTTGTGCCTTCGCAAACATCGCAGCCCTCGAAGCAGATATTCCAGTTTGTTCCACCCCAATCGGAGCCTGCAAAATCAGCTAATCCGCCTGAAATCGAGAAGATTGAGATGTTACCAAACAGATCAACAAGCACCAAACCAAAGTCTGCTTTCCCTCTGGCGTCATCTTTACCATTCGTGCAAACACAACAACAGCAGAAGTCTGCTTCCATAGCACCATCTGAACCTCCTACACCAGTAGAGCCTCCCAAACCCCAAAGAAAGCTAATAAATAACCCGGAATTTGAAGCTGCTGCCAAAATGGTGATCGATAATCTTCTCTATGATGCTGTTCGGAAGGAAACAGAAACTATTGTGAAGAATCTGGCTGAGGTGGAGAATCAACGACGGATCCAGCACCATAATCAGATAGTCGATTCGCTTAAAACCGAGCTTTTTGTAGCATTCATGAGGGAGCAAATGTACATCATAGCCATAGATGTGAAAGCCAGGCTATTCAGAGAAAGGAATCTAAAACGAAGAATCTTACGGAGAATCAAAGCAGGTGCGGACAGGCTTGTGGTGAAGCATAGTGCTAAAAAAAGCAAACTTAACGAGATCCACTCGTTTGCTAACAAGGTCCGACCTGAATTTCTGCTTCCTGCACATGTTTCCTCCTGGAAATTCTCTGTGAGTCCCCCTGCACTGAAGAAAAAGAACGGGTTTGAGGAGGACAACGTGAGCTGTCTGGCTGATCTTCTACCATATGTCAATCAACATCTACGCATGCTGGTCATCGTCGATACATGGGACGATGCGGTTGCAAAATGGCTGTCCAATAAGCTTTCCCTTAAGGAAGCTGTTGAGTCGGGGAAGCTTGTCAAGACGGCCAAACTAGAGACCGCAAAAGGAGCCATTACCATCAGCTCCATTCCTGACAGATTTCGCTCACGGGTTGTTTTCAAGAACGTCAATCTCTTGCTCATAAAGATTGAATACCCAACATCGCATGATCTTACGACATCGAAACAAGTTTTGGCCAAAGTGATTGAATATCTGTCGAGGTTCAACAGAGAGGAACCAGTGACGTTGATGCTTGTTCTGGTTGACTTTCCTCGAGAAATCGATTTGATATCAAAGCCGCCTCCGTGGCTCACTGTCAGAAGCATTAATTTGAACGCTAGAATGAGTCCATTGACTCTGCAAAATAAGTTTCATCAATTTTTCAAAGACTGTATCGAAAACTATCACTCCTCATCATCGTCATTGCAAGACGCCGAAACGACGCTTATGTCCAGGTACACAACAATTGAGAACTCGCTTGTTGGTCTTCTGAGGGACGATTTGAGCAACCGCCACAAACTTGACTATATAAGGTCACTGGCAGGAAAACGGAAAGCGTCATATGATTCTGAAATATCGCTGATTACGGAGGAAACCCCGCCATCTGGGAATTTCGAATTCTGCAGGACTAGCACGCCTTCATTAGACATATCAAAGAGCAAGAAGCAGAAGATTGACGCCTTGCTTGAGCTGTCGGAATCTGTGCTGAAACGTTAATTCTCTGTATTATATTGTATATTAAGCATTGTTACAATCTATAGAAACAATCTATCTGGGCCCGATTAGATTGCAGATTCGAGGTAACAATATCGTTGATTTCGTTTGCGTACTTTGTGTTTTTTCTGGAGAATCTATCAGAGACGCTGATTAGCTTGTCCAAATTAATTTGCTCCTTGATCCCAGATTGGTTTAGGTGCTGAAATAACTCCACTAGGAAGCGCAGGTCAACACTGATTTGAAGGAGACCGCTCGAGTTAAATTGTTGAATACTTTTGAGGCTCTCAATCAATTTGAAAATAAAGTAGTTTATCAGGTCAAGCTCAATTCTCATAATATAGTTTTTGTTCGCATTGTGGCCAAGCAGTCTTGATTTCACCAGTATTATCAAGTTAATCGGCTGCAAAATGAATTTCGAAACAAAAATTTGCCTGGCGGAGAACTGGAACCAATCGACGCTCTTCACTCCGTTGAAAATGGTTTCCTCTAACTCCTTTTTGTAAGTGCTCATGTAGTCGTCATAAATTCTGGTTTCGTATTTCTCGATCTTGCCGTAGACGTCGACACTGGATGTGGAGTACTTGGTACCGAAGTTGGTATCAAAAATCTTTAAGATTCGAGGCAGAAGACGCAACTTCATCAAAGACAAGTTACTGAGAATAGCAGGGTAGTAGAAATCTCGGTCTTTGGCGCCATCTGCGTTGGCTATGATACATTCCAGCTGATTATCAACGATGATATCAAGAGACGTGATAAATTGCTTTTCAACATTAGCCAATAATTCCGACTCAGGTTCGTAAATCAGGCTGCGCAGCTTTGGGATGAATATCTGATAAAAGTTCATGATATAATCAGCGCTTTTCGTACAACCATCAAATGTGTTACTCGCTGTCCAATCTTCTGTATGCTTCAGCCGCTTGGTATCTTTAATCAGAACACACAAGACACCGTTGACGAGATTGCAGTTGATTGTTCTCAATGTAGACACAAACTTGCCATATTCGAGAGAAGTCTTATTTTTCAGCTTGTCGATGGTCTCTTCGAACTCTCGTTGGAATACGATACAGTTATTAAGAGTCGTCAAAACAGATGAATGAGGCGGGATAAATCCATACGAATCCAAGGACGCGAGATCTTTCGAAGGTCGCTCAACCGTTGCAGAAGGGGTTGATTTCGTGCTGAGCTCTGCACTGGTAGCATCGAAGATAAATCGGAGCTGGCTACACAGCTTTTCTGTGAGCACCTGTAGATACTCTTCGAACTTCTTTATTTGATAATCTTCAAGCTTCAAATGCTGGCGGGAATGAGGATTCTTAATAGGTAATTCATGTTGAAGATCGTCGCGAGTGAAAAAGTCAATCATGGTTGCAAACTTGTAGAATCTATTGGTGATTATCTCTTCAGTCAGCTCACTCACATAGGCTCCTAAGAAGCCCCAGAGGTTTGCAACCAGAGGGGGGTCTGCAATGTCGGCGTCAGATCCATGCTCTGCAATCAAGTAGTGCGTATGCTTTAACGCAGCGATGGAGATTTCGTAGCTATCTTCACTATTGTAAGCACGAGTAAGGTTTTCACGAGCTTTGAGAAAACGCGAGAGTTGAACTCCAGCGAGATCTCCGTCAATGCTTTCCTGGATATAATTGTACTCTAGGTTCAGAAAGTAAGGAATTGGGTTCTCGCTGACCCCAAGTTCTAATAATTTCTTGATTATCGAAACGAAGGAAGATTCAGACTGCGCACTCAATGAGCCAATATTCTCAATGTGCACATTTCCCAATTTTTCCCATAGCTGCTTTTTGTACTCTGAGATGATGTCCTCCACCTCAGCCCATATTCTGTCTAGAACAGGGTTATTTTTCTCATCGTTCTTGGTTGAGTTCAGATACACTCTTTTTCCTGCCATGTACTCATTGGAAATAGAATCAAAGTCTCCCGTAGCCACTAATTTTGTGAGTTTTTTGGGAAGGTCTAAAAGCACGCTGTTACTGGATATCAGCGACAAAAAGCTCTCGATTTCAGAAGCTCTCTCCATACCGTCAAAGACGGGATTCAGCATCATTGTCGACGACGTGTTAGCTTTCGCTATGGACTCGCTCAGGGCGGTTATGTTAGCAGAAAGATTGCTCATGGAGTATTCGCTGTAGACCTCATCAAGCAGCTTTTTATTATCGATGGCCTTTTGAAAATTCTCTCCAATGAGTTGCTGCAATCTAGGTTTTTCGGCTTCGAGGCTTCTCTCCAAATGTTCGACGCTCTTCTGTAACTCTTTGTACGTCTTCTCTCTGTGTATGGTTGTCAGAAACAGGCGCGCATTAAACGATTTTGAGTCCACCAGGAACTTCAGCTTCTTAGGGTCCCTTGTATCATCAATCACATCTTTGTCAATAAGTTCATCCAGGATGGATTCATGAAATCCTAGTGGATCGGTCATATTGTAGGCCGAACGTCGTTTTTCTGCTGCCGGCTCGTCAGGCTGATCAGTAAGGAACTTGTTGAGCTGTTCCTTGGGGATTTTTTTAGTGATCTCGTCAAGATTGTCATTCTCATCCAGCACAATTGGATTCGAGGTAAGCGACGCAGTCGAGTACTCAGACGGCTCCAGAGTACGCAGTTGGTAGAAGTCCAAAAGTGTCTTTTCGTCGACCACTTCCATGCGTTCGGTGTCCATGGGGAAGAAAATAAACAGTCAAATAAATTTCGTCGCGTCGATTAGCCAGAGCAATATTGGGGCATCTACAAAGAGCCTGCTCAGTAGGTCCTGCATGCTTAACATCTAAGCAGGACAGACCAGCCTGCAAAGGGGTTCTGGCCCACTCTGCTATGTCTGCTATTCTTCGTCCTCGGCTTTCCGCACGTGGTCAATTTCCCCATTCGGAAACCAAATATTAAATTATCCAGCATTTTTGCTACCTGGAGCAAATACTTGCTGATCTTTATACCATGGCTACACAGAAATCGGCATCGCTCGATGCTCCTCTCGAAATGAACAAACCGAGCACAATTACATCAACGCCCATTCTCCCTGACCTGGCTGAGCCGGTGACGAATTTGCAGATGGACTACTTGCTCTACAAGAAATCGGTGCTCACTAAGGCACTGTTCAAATCCAAAGCTGTTGTGTCTCTGCTAATTGGCGCATTTGCGGGACTGTTTTATCGCAAATTCGGACCTTACTGTACTCCGTACAACTTCAGGAACGGAACTCTCGAGGGCATACTCAGTATCTTCCACTCTCCATTTTTTGTCCAAGACGCGTTCTATCTTGTCTTGTCGACGGCCATGATTTTCTCTGCCACTCTTGTTGCCGCATGGCTCCAGACAAATTTCCTGAGGGACGCGGCAGAGGAAGTGCCCAAGCACATGGAGCAGTACTTTGGGCTGGACCTGGAAGAGTATGCGAGAAGTGCTGTCAAGTCAAAGCTGAGAAAGGTTCCGGCAGACGTCAAGCAGAAGGTGAAATTTATGGAAAAACACTCGTTGGTGGTCCAATATCGCGAGACCCCAATCGCATTTATAGTGCAGCAGAAGGAGTCAGAATCCAGCTTCAAGATCACCGGTTTTGCGGTGAGACGGGTCTATATCAAGTCCGGAATCCTGGCAGACCTGCTCGACTGGGCCAAAAAACAAGTGGGTCCCAAACAATCGTCTTCGGTCACCGTCTACTCGTTTGAGACGTTCGATATTGACATTCTTAGAGGAAGCGGCTTCAAGCTGCTGAGAAGGGAGCCGTTAGACTCCTTCGTTCTGGGAACACTGTTTGGGATCACGCGCGACACATACATCTACGAAGGAAGCAGCTAAGCTCGGCTTCTTATATCTCGCTGTATATTTCTTCGTTCTCTATAATACATTAATGACCGGCTTGGGCAGCTGAGCCTTCCTGTAGGTGGAAAACGTCGTGGAGCTCGTCGTCCTCGAACTCGTTAGCTATCTCTATCTCGCGAAGAAGACCGGTCTTCACGTCATAAATAAAACCCAATATCTCAAGACCACTGTGTTTCGACGCAGTCACGAAGCTGGGGTGTTTGCGGATTTCGCTGATGGAATTGGCAATGTTGAGCTCACTGAGCTTGGTGCATTTCTCGAATGGGTCCTCGATGCTCTTCAAAGTGGCCAGGTTCTTGGCACGGATCTGTCTGATAGGCGCCAGCCAGTTGTCCAGCACTCCGCCGATTTTCTTGGACGACAGAGCCGCCCAGACTCCGCCACAGTCGGTATGGCCACAGACAATGATCCGCTTCACCTTCAGCACGTCAATGGCAAACTGCAGCGCAGACATGGACGAGAAATCCTGGTAAGAAATCAGGTTGGCGATGTTGCGGAGGGTGAACACCTCGCCGGGAACGCAGCCCAGAGTGGTGCATTCATTCACTCGGGAGTCAGAACACCCAACCCAAAGGGTGTGCGGAGACTGGCCCTGGCCGGACTTCTCCAGCACTGCTGGCATCGTCTCCTGAAGACGTTTCATTGCAGAGCGGTTGGCCTGCAAAATGTCGTTCACGTTGCTCTCCCTGCCAAGTTGGAAAGGCGACTCCGAACTCACAGAGACCGAAGACTGGGAACTGAGAGACGGCGACGTGCTAATCGACGACGTCTTGTCGAGGTCGACCTCGGATTCTGCAGCGCCGGTCTGCTTGTGCTCGTGGTGGTGGTGCCGCGGCTCGACACCCTCTTGCTCGTGCTCGTACCTGATAACGTTGTTGATGCCCATTCTGGTGGAAAAAGTGTGTAGTCTTCTTGGTAGGAGAGCAGATCTGAGCATCTACACCCTGCGGACGGGCCGCTTAACTTTATATACCGTGGGACTCCAACGTTCGCTTTCCCGGCTGCTATTGTTTGATCAAGAGCCGCAACGCAAAATTAATGATGACATCAGGTTTTTACAATTACTGTTAATGCAACAGCGAACATTTTTTAGATGCACACCGAGTGATGTAAATAAAAAGTTTTTTCAGCTCATCAGGCTGTGCTCTCGAACCCAGGCTTGTTGAGTCATCTGTTGGGCAATGAAAGCCGCACTTCGCCAGAAGATCAAAGCGCGACTCGCGCAGGTGGGCCAGCCGGAACTGCTGGCTCAGTCGCAGCGAGTTCTCGCCAAGCTCACGGCGTTGCCCCAGTACCAGAACGCCCAGACAATCGCGCTCTACATGTCGATGGACAACTCCGAGATAAAGACGGATCTGCTGGTCAGAGATGCTCTTGAACGCGGCAAGCGTGTTTACCTGCCCCGTATCACCCAACTGGCAAAGTTCCAGGACTACCAGCGACACAGAAAACAGAAAACCTGCTTGCATTTTCTACAAGTAGAACTAAGCGATCTCGAGAAAATGAAGCCGCAGGGAAAGTACCAATTGCGAGAGCCTGAGTTCCACTTTGCGGGCGAAAAAGCAGTGAACGACCTCCTGCTTACTAATTCCCGGCTGGACCTCATGGTCATGCCGGGACTCGCATTCACGCCAAACTGCGACCGGCTCGGACACGGCGTCGGCTTCTATGACGACTTCATCAAAAGATATCATGAGAAATACAGCGAAAAACCATACCTGCTAGGAATTGGGCTCAGGGAACAGCTAGAGCAGACGCTGCCCTTGGAGGCCCATGACGAAAAGCTCGATTGTGTGATTCTGGGAGACGGCCAGAGCTTCAGCTAAAACAGGCCAAAGAACCACTTGGTGCGCTCGGGAACAAACTTCGCGTTTGCCTTGACCAGCGTTCTTTTACCCGTCCCCGAGAGCATAATGCCTCGGACCTCGACCTCTCCGTTCTCGACGGGGCCAACCTTGGACTTGATGACCACGAAGCTGTCGACCAGCGTCGGAAATTTATAGTTTAACGTCAGGCTTTTCGTGTGGACCTTTGCCGGGTTTTCCAGCCCATTTTGTAGCATGCAGTGTTTTTTCAGCGTCTCGTCGATGACCAGCGAGATAATGCCACCATGGACCAGAAAAGGGTATCCACACAGTTTCTTTCCGAGGTGGATGACACTGACAGACTCCCCGGTCTCCTGGTTGTGGAACGTGATTGGCGCAATCGCAATGGATCCAGGCATGTTGAGTCTCTGATGGATGCCATCCTTAACTGTGTCCAGCTGGTTCCACGCGCGCATAGCCACATAATTCGGATCTTTGGACAGCTCTGCGACGATCGGCACCTGCCTCAGCTTATTCTCTAGTTCCCGCTGGTATTTCTCCGTCTCCTGCGGCGTCGTTGGCAGTGGGGTAGTGATGAACTGGTCCACAACCTCCTGGGCGGAGTACCTGTAAGACAGGCCCAAACCTGCGGCAAAGGCAAGCACATACAGGGGCACGTACGAGCGCTTGCGCGGTGCAGCTGTCTGTGAGTACGATCTGATAATCTGTCTGCCAATTGGCACGAATACTCTGGCCCTAAACATGACGGGGAAGAAGGTACAATTTGGAAGAAACACAGGACGATCGACGCAAACTTAAGTTGGAAAATTTTACAAGGCAAGCTACAATGTCGTTCCTAGGATTCGGAGGAGGAGCTCCCCAGATCTCTTCTGAGCAGAAAATTCAGGCCGCAGAGGCCGAGCTGGACATGGTCACCACTATGTTCAACCAGCTCGTCGACTCGTGCCACAAAAAGTGTTTTGACAGAAACTATGCCGAAGGAGACTTGACCAAGAACGAGAGCCTGTGCATCGACAGATGCGTCGCCAAGTACTTCGATGCCAACGTCAAGGTCGGCGAGAGCATGCAAGCGTTGGGCAAGAGCGGAAACCTGAACAGGAAATAAACCAATCGTGTGTATATACAGATTACCTATTATATCGTCAATCTAGCTAATGCAAGTGGCACTAGAGTCCTAATGCCTTGAACAGTCTCAGACGACATCCCTCGAGTGTGTTGAGCTTGGGACGCACGTCCAGATAAAATGCCGGATCTCCTTCCTTTGCTGGCGGAGTGCTGTAGAAATCGATCACATAGTCCACTCTTTTCCCGCACCGGTCCACGATCCAATCGTGTCTGTCGAACGGCAAGTCTGCGCCAAAAATAAGGTTGCGGATCCGCGCACGAGGAGTGATCTTCTTCGAGTCTCCCTTGAAGGAGGTTAGCTGGACTCCGCCGCACTTCTCGCCTCCCTGGCCGTTTTCCCACATCAGAATATACGCCCATGCACGCTCGTTCACCATGTTATGGATCGGAACGATGGTTTTCATGTCTCCCGCGTCTGGGTTCCAATCTTTGCGTCTCATGGCGTTGAAGAACTGTTTCTGCGACGGGTAGATCCAGTTCGACTTTGCGCCTGTCCGTGGGATGGACGAGACCTCGCGCTCCTCCGGAAGGTCCACGTCCACGACGATCGGCTTAGGCGAGTCCAGGTCGTCCGAGGAGCACGTTTTGTCTTGCTCCACGGCCTCTGGGGCAAACGTCGTTTTTCCCGCGGTAAGCCACGTTTTGCGCGCATCGTGGTCAACGGGACACGTTTCGGACAAGTTGCCGGCCGTCTGTGGATGTCCTGGCGGTTTTATGCTCTCGGACGGCGCGATCTGGGCTGGAACCGATGGTGCCCATAGCAGTCGCGCGAAGAACGACTGCGGGGCCGCCGGTTCCTGAGATGGGGCCTGTCTGGCGCGCTGCGTCTGCTTGGCCTTCGAAAGCCACTTCTCGCGGGCCGTGTGGTCCACAGGGCACTTTGGCTGGTCCTGGCTCATGAATGATGACTATTTGAAATTTTATTGGAGCAAAATGGTGTCAGGAGTGTGGATACAGATGAAATACATACATTCACTAACTACATAAACAAGTTCCAGAATCCACGTTTCTCCAGAGCCACCTCGTCAGAGGCAGTCGAGACGTAGTCCGAGGCGTTGGCATACGAGCTGCTGCTCAACTGGTAGTATGGGACGTACGAAGCCCGCACCGACGAGGTGGTACTGTTGGAGTAGAGGGCCGGAGTAGAGTAGCTCGAGCTCGAGGAAGTCACGGGCGTGCTCGAGCCGATCTGGTCAGTGACCCACGTTGTCACGTAGGAGGTCGAGACGGCGGTCTCGAGGCACGACTCGGTCGTCAGCACCGTCAAGGTGGAGCCGGCAGAGTTGGTGATAGGGATGGTGGCAGTGACAGAAAGGGTCAGAGTGGACGTCAAGTACAGGGTGCTGACCAAAGCCGAGTTTGGCGAAGCGCTTGACGAGGCGCCGCAGCCGGCGGTGACCGTCTCCGTGACCGTCACGGTAGCAGGGGTAGCAGAGGCAGCTGGTGCAGAGGTTTCTGGAGTGGAGCCAGAGGGGCCGCTGGAGGCTCTCTCGGCCACGGTGGTTGCCTGGGCGGCGACCGACGAAGGAGAGGCCTCGGGACTGGAGGTGGACAAGCTGCCTTGCGTGACTGTCACGAAGACCGTGGAAGTTTTGGTCGACGTGGTGGTCATTTCCTTGCCGTTGGACTGGTACGTTGAGACCACAACGTCTTCTCTTGCCTCAGACGAGACGCTGACCGGTGCAGAAGCAGGGGTCGTGGCTGCTGCGGCGCTCGAGCTGGAGCATGGGACGGTGACGGTGATGGTGACACCCTCGCTGACGGTGGTGTAAGTGGTGTAGTCAGTTGGGGCAGCGGAGCTGCTGGCCACGCTGACAGCGTTGTAGAAAGCGGCGAGGGAGGAGGAGGCGGTGGCCACAGGCGAGTAGGCGCTGTTGGACGTGCCTGCCAAGCACAGAGTGCAAGGTTCCACGATAGTCACTGTCGAGCCAGCTGTAACAGTGGTGTAGGTGGTCAGAGGGGTGGAAGAGTTGTCATATCTCTTGCCGAGGTTGAAGAACCCGGCAACGGGAAGGGCCTCGACTTGGGTAGCGGAGAGAGCCAAACAGGTGCAAAGGAGCGACAGGAAGTTCATTTGGGAAGCACTGCGATTTCGTGTTCAACGGATGTATAAAGGAGTGACTGGTTGAGGAAATCGAGAGCACTGAAGCTAGGAATAATCAATTGGTCAGTATCGCTGTGTATTTGTTGTAAACATTTCAGCAAGAGCCACTGCCTCTTTTTTATAACACGGTGATTTTGGAATGTAAGCGTTACGAAGGAGTAAACTTGCAACCGCGACTGCTATGCATGGAAATAATAAAAAATGACAATTGAAATTTTTAGATCAATGTTAGAAAACGCGTCTCGCCCGTAAATCTCTGCCTCTTCCGCGCGGGCTTATGAGGACAAACAATGCATCATCGACCTAAAACAATGTTTTGGGAGTGGTCCGACACCGTGTCTACCACAGCGCTCTATACGTGCTACAGATCGGGATCTGGCGTGAGGCCAAGATGCTGTCCAGTGAGGAACTGCATCTCTCCGATTTGTTCTGGAAAATACTCCTGCTTGACACGTCCGTCCTTGTAGTCCGGATTGTACTTGTACCCTTTCGAGTAGCCAATCTCTTTCATGAGCTTAGTCGGCGCATTGCGCAGATGAAGCGGAATGGATGCTGACGCAAATTCCGGCTCAGAGTCGAGTCTGGCGTTCAGCTCGTTCCAGGCTCTGTATATTTCCACCGATTTCGGTGCTCGTGCTAGTTTCACCGCGCAATGCGCCAGTGCCAAATCTGCCTCGGGAAGCCCAACAAATTGCACCGCCTGGTACGTCGCTATGGCGAACGGCAGGCACGTGTCGTCAAGCACACCGACGTCTTCGCTTGCTATACGTATCATTCTCCGGGCTATGAAAAGCGGATTCTCGCCCCCTTTGAGCATTCGGCCCAGGTAATACATAGCAGCGTCGGCGTTGGATCCTCTGACGGACTTATGAAACGCAGATATGGTGTCATAGTGCGCGTCGCCTACGCGGTCGTAAACCATGTGCGTACGTTTTAAAACGTCCCTCAGCTGCTCAGCATCGACCTCTATCACATGTTTGCCCGGCTCCAAACTGTAGTTCGTCATAAAATGCGAGTCTGCCAGCTCCAGCAGGTTCAAGGCACTCCGTGAGTCTCCATCTGCTATATTGCAGATATAGCCAATTGCCTCTTTGTTAAATCGCAGAATTGGGACATTATGAACCAGCTTGCGCGTCTTGTTGGTCACCAGGAGCGCTTTGGACACGATCCTGTGGAGCTCGTCGGAGGTGAGTTTGTTGAGCACAAAAACCTTGCAGCGCGACAAAAGAGCGCTGTTCAGCTGGAAGCTCGGGTTCTCTGTCGTTGCGCCCACAAGCGTGATCGTCCCCTTCTCAACGTGCGGCAGAAAAATGTCCTGCTGTGCCTTGTTGAACCGATGGATTTCGTCAATAAATACTATGGTGTGTCTTTTCGTCAGCTTGTCCTCGTTGCGTGCTTCTTCGAAAACACGTTTGCAATCGTTGATCCCGTTGGACGTCGCGCTCAGCTCGATGAATCGCGATTTCGTGGCGTGCGAGATGATTCGTGCCAGCGTCGTCTTGCCGGTGCCTGGAGATCCCCATAGGATAAGCGACGGCACGCGATCGTTCTGGATAAACCCTCGCAGGATGCCGCCCTCGCCGACCAAATGTTCCTGTCCAACGTAGTCTTCGAGGCTGGAGGGCCGAAGACGCTCCGCCAGTGGCAGTTTAGCCTGCGCCTTCAGAAGACGTAGCTCGTCAGCAGGAGCGGTTTTCCGCGCCTTGGGCTCCGGGTCAACGATCTCAATTGATGTGTTTACTTCTTGGTCCGACGACAACGACTGGCTGTCTGAGAAAGTCCGTTTCTCTCTGTTTCCATATTTATAGGAGGACTTTTTGGCAGACTTGGTGCCCGTCAGCAGCGAGGAGACTGATTTGGCAGGCTGTGATGTTGGCTCGGGGGCGGTCTCTGTGGGCGCGGCTGGAGCGGAGGGTGGCGGAGCACTTTCGGACTGTTCTGTGCAGGTATCAAGATGTCTGTTAATGAGCGCGATGTCGACCTTTTTCAGACAGACGGGGCAGTTTATCATACGCATACGCGAAATAGATAATAGAATTATTTGATCTGCTTGAAAAAATAAAATCTATGTTGGATACAAACCGGGCTGCATCAGTCATAATTCATCCTTGACATTTTTGGCGCTCTTGGACTTCTCGGCCCTGCTTTTTTTGAAATCCCGAAAACTCTTGTATAGACCCTTCTTCAGGCCTCTCAAGAAAGCTCCCCGTGTACTGGTCTCCCCATCCTCTGCGACTCCATAGTTGCCCAGGAATTTCGCGATGGCCGTTCTTTCAGTGGGACCTTCGTACCGGTGGAATGAGCCATGGCGGTCGATCACCACGATCTGCGGTAACTGTTTGAGGTCTATCAGTTTCTCAACCTCTGATCTGATCTGATCAGTCACTGTCAGATAACCGAACTCCAGCGATCCGAGGAAATCGATGGCCAGTGCCTTGAACATGGGCGAGATTGACGTTTTGCTGGTCAGCAGAAGAACCCGCGGTTTGTCCTCGGGTGCCACGAAGCTGGCGAACTTACCAGCATTGACTCTCTTCACGTAGTTCTTCACACGGCCTTTCACGAACTCCGTGAGCTTGCTGGCGACCCGCTCTCCACGGTAGATCTCGGAGCTGTGGCCGTTTTTTCTGGTGATCTTACCGGTCCATTTTGGCGGTCTGAACACTAAGACCGTTGGGAAACCCTCGATTCTGTACTCGTTGCACAGCTGCTTGTTTTCTGGCGAGTCGCAGTTGACTGCAGCATACTGTGCCACGTCAGAGCTGGCTTGTGCTGCCTTAATGTACTGGCTCTTGAACTGCTGACAGTATCCGCACCAAGGAGCATAGAACTCGACAACAGAGGTGTGGTTTGTTTTGTAGACAACGTCGTCAAACGAGTCGGGCGTCAGCTCGTAGATGTGTTTTGAATTAGCATAAAAAGCGTGGGCCAGCGACACCAAAAAGAATAGCACCAGCATGGATTGTGTTTCGAAAACTCTACCAAATACTTCGGCGGAAAAACTTAAAATTATTCATCAAAATGATCACCAAGTTCTTTTCCAAGATTGTGGTCAAATTCAATCCGTTTGGGCCAGAGGCCAAATGCGCGCGCTCATTTATTGGCCTTATTTCGTCTCAGGTCCGCCAAACATGCCAGGTCGACCTCGAGGTGCTGCCGAGAGCAAGCACCACACCTCCGCTTCTCAAAGTGACGTTCAAAGATAACACCTCGATGGAGGGCAATCCGGCCGAGCAGACGCTGGAGGATATAAGGCAGATGCTCGACAGACACTCCAGACAACTACAATTCAAAGAGGACGCAAACAAATAGAGCTTATGCTGGCATGCTGTGCAGTGTCTCGCACTGCTCTGTGATTTTTTCAGCTAAATAATTTTCAGTTTTGTATATACACTTTATGATCAGATCATCCGTACTAAGACTAGGAAGACGCTTCCTCAGTTCAAAGACTGCTGTGATAACGACTCCTATTTTCTACGTCAATGCCAAGCCCCATATCGGACACTACTACTCAATGACTCTTGCCGACGTTTACAACAGATGGCTGAAACTGAGTGGAGAAGCAACTTTTTTCACGACGGGCACGGACGAACATGGCCTCAAAGTCCAAACGGCAGCTGCCGCTGCTGGGATGGATCCAAAAACCTTTTGTGACGGACTCTCCCAAAAATTCAGAGAGCTGGCTTCGGTAGGAAACATACAGTACGATAGATTCGTTAGAACCACAGATCCCGACCATCTAGAGGCCGTGCAATTTTTCTGGAAAACCCTGGAGAAGAACGGACACATATACAAGGGCAAACACTGTGGGTGGTACTCTGTTTCCGACGAGTGCTTCTACACAGACTCGGAGATCGAGGAGGTGGATGGGAAGATGGTCGCTAGGGAGACAGGCGCAACTGTTGTGTACGAGACTGAGGAAAACTACTTCTTCCGCTTGCGCGAACACCAGCAGCGGCTCATCCAGTTCCTGGAAGACAACCCTACATTCGTGCAACCGGCCCTCTACTACCAAACGCTGCTTCGTGACCTGAAGTCACGTGACCTCGACGACCTGAGCATCTCGCGGCCTAGTTCGCGGGTGAGCTGGGGCATCAGCGTGCCTGACGATCCGTCTCAGAAGATGTACGTTTGGTTTGATGCTTTGGTCAACTACTTGACCTGTATTGGGTACCCTTCTCAGGTGCCACAGGAGCCGTCGTTTGTGCATCTGGTTGGAAAGGAGATCGTTAAGTTCCATTGTATTCACTGGCCGAGCTTTCTGATGGCCTGTGGGCTCCCGCTTCCACGTGGCGTTTTTGTTCACGGCCATTGGCTCATGGATGGGCGCAAGATGAGCAAGAGCCGGGGCAATGTTGCCGATCCTATGGAAATCTCTGAAAAATACGAGGTTGACGCGCTGCGTCTCTTTATGATGCGGAATTCTGTGCTGGACTCAGACTGCGACTACTCCGAGAGCAAGCTCAATGCCACGCGAAACGAGTTTATTGACAAGTTCTGCAACCTGCTGACTCGGTCTCTGTCCAGAAAATTCAGCATCTCACGCGCTCTTGCGAAGGTCGAGACACGCGGACTTCCGAGCCTGCTTCACGAGGCCGGGGAGGAGTTCTCAGCTGATTTGCGCTCTCTCTATGAACAGGTGGACGAGTTGCCGGATATTGTTGATTCCCACCTCAGAAAACTCGAACTGCACAGGGCTGTCCTTGCTATCTGGCAGCTGCTTCCTCGCATCAATGGACTGTTTGACAAATTCGAGCCGTGGAAACTTAAAGGGCCTGAAAACGAGCTCAAACAGGACTTGGTGATTTTCAGCGCGCTTGACTCGCTGCGGTGTCTGCTGATCCTGTTGCAGCCTGTTGTTCCTGACTACACCAAGATGCTGCTCGACAAACTACAGGTCGAGCCTTCCAAGCGAACTATAGACATGGCGGGCATCGCGAGAGACACTAGGTACGCCACATCCGCTACTTTTTCCAAGGGAGAGAAGGTCCCGCTGCAAAAAATCAGATTAGACTAGACGGCTATTTTAATGGTCTCGCATTGCAGGGTGTCCAGATCCAGCACTGCCACCTGGCCTGTCTCGCAGAAATCGGGCACCGCGACGATCCGCACGCGTATTGGGGCGTCTCTTGCGCAGTGCAGTGTCATCTCGGCTGTCTCGAATTTCGGCTGGTTGCCGACGAAGTATACATGGGGAGTCTCGTCCAAGGTGAACGGGTCGTCAACGTCATACGGATAGCATGTGAGCGTGTCTGGCGCTGTGGGGACGACGTTCTGCCAGTGCATCGTTGCTTCCAGAAGCTTCAGTCTGGACTCGTTGACGATCTCGTTCCTGACGGGTGAGTCCATGCCACTGCCCTCTCCGTTGAGGTCCACTTGTATGTTAGGAATGAAATACTTGAACATATCGTTGATATTTTCTCCCGACGTGCCCAGCAGTCGCACACCGTCGATTTCGAGCCAGACAGGATTAGTTGAGCGCACGAAATTGGCGTACGAGCCGGCCTTGGCGAAAAACGACGGGTGCAGAGGCTGTTTGGGAAGACTCACCTCGCAGGGGTCCGAGTCGCCCGGCATGACGGTCACGGGGACAGAGCTCAGCAGCTCGCAGATGTAGGCGTCCAGCTGCTTGATTGCGTCCGCGTCGTAGTTGGACTTGTTGAGCTCTCTGTATTTATCTTTCTCCAGAACCACCTGGTCGGCCGACTCGACGCATCTGATCGAGTTGCCCGCCAGGACGACCTGCGTGATCGATCTCAGAAATTGTATCGTTTCAGGAGACGAGTCCAGCTCTCCCATAAGGTATTCCTTGAGCACTTCGAGCGCACCCAGACTGCTCTGGTTATTGATATGAAGCCCAGAAACCAGCAGCACCTTGTTGCCCGCAGAATGCACCGGACGCGGCACTTGAGGCCCAGGCTCCGGGTACACCACGTCCACCACGGTGAAAATGCCGGCCTCGACCTCCATGCCTAAAACACCAACCACCGCGCCGGTGACGAGCAAGATCTTATCGAGGATCTCGCCGTCCAGAACCATTCGCCCAGACTCGTCTTCGAGCATCACCTGGTCGTTCTGCGGATCAGAGTACGCGGTCGCCCGGAGCTGGTCCAGTTTGCTGAGCTCCGCAGACTCCTGCACGTCGTTTGCCCCGTACACGTTGTTGCTCACCTCCTCGAGAATGTTGGGCTTGAACTTCATGTCCATGAAAACGGTCCCGATGGTGTAGCAGGGCGTCATGTTCTTGATGTCGAGTATTTTGTTCACATACACCACGCCCGTGTTGTTTATCGTCTCCTGTTTCCACTTGGCATTGGCACGCTTGAGACAACGCGACTTGAGCTTTTTCACGCGCTGACTGTAAATCTTGTTGAACTGGTTGGCGTATGACCGCGTGCCGGGAGCAAGGCGGTATGTGTCGGACTTGCTGAAGTGCTCGGGGACCGCGGATTCGTGGCGAAGAATGCGGTCAGACGTCATGGTGTTCATACGCGTGGTACGGTGCAAGGATGAAAAAATTATTTATCGAATCGCACTCGCTGTGGTGCAAATGGGGTGTAAAGTATGGACGAGCACAGTAACCGTTTCGTCGACGATTCGAGTGGTAGTTTAGAGCCTAGCAGTGTCGTGGGCAGCGTAATTCGGTAGCATCGCGCCGTTTCAGATGCTGACTTCCGAACCCTGTAAATCGACTCAATTAGCCGTCTGGCTTGCGTGCCGGAGCCGAGCAAACTGAATATACCAGCTTTCACAACTGTAGTGCCTTTAGCTGCGACCTGTGTACACCGCAGCCAGCAGGCCCAGCTTATGTCGACAGGGTCCCGAACCTTATCTGTGGTGGTGTACAGATGCACGGGCGCCCGAATTTGGCTGGGTGCGAGGAGGACCAATGGACACCATAACAAAAATCACAAAGGAGTTAATTCCATAAACTGCACAATGGAGAGACTCGACCTAGCCACCTACAGCAAGGAGATCAAGCAGAACTACGACCGGCTCATCTCCGGTGAGTTGTCCTATGTCATTTACACCACCCAGAAAGACTCATCTCTCAAACCTACCGTCCAAGGCGACGGAGACATCAACGAGTTTGTGACCGAGTTTGAAGAGGGCGCAGTCCAATTCGGTTACATTCGTGTCAATCCGTATGGGTCTGACGTCCAAAAGATCTTACTGGTCGGCTGGTGTCCAGACTCTGCCCCTTTGAAGAGCAAAGTCTCGTTTTCAAATAACGTGGCCGAGGTCGGCAGGATCTTGCACTACCACGTGCAGGTGACTGCTAGAGATCCGGATGACCTGGACGTCGACGACCTGCTGAAAACAGTGAGCAACGCGTCTGGTGCTAGATACTCCATCCAGTCGCTGCCACAGTCTTCTGCTCCTAAAACCACCAGGCCTGCGCCAAAGCCTGCCCCTAAACCTGCCAAAACAGAAGAGCCAGCTCCTCCTAAGCCCTCTAGAAGCATTCCGCCAAAACCGGCAACAGCTCCGGCTCCAGCTAAACCTGCTGAACAAGATGACGAATGGGGCGGAGAAGAAGAGATTCAGGAGAGAGACTTCAGCAAAAAGCCATTAGAGACTCTTCCTTCTGCATACAAGCCAACAAAGGTCGACATTGAGACATTGAGAAAGGGTCCGTCACAAACGACCAGCTCGCAACCCGCCACTGTTTCATTGAGTCTCGGAGACGGTCGCCTGTCTTCGCTGCCGAAACCAAAGGTGACGAACTCTGTCGCTTCCAAATTCCAGGAAGTTGTTCAGCCTTCCTTTGGCTCTAAACCTTCCTTTGGTGCTCCCCCAAAGAGAGACGAGCATGTCTCGTCGGGCTTGAACCGCAACTTTGGAGCCACTAACGGCAAGACCCCTGCTCAAATCTGGGCCGAAAAGAAAGGACAGTTCAAGGATGTCGAGACCGATTCGAAGCCTGTGAACGCTGAGCCTGAAGAAGAGATCAATGTGCACGTCAACGATGTCAAGGCCAAGCTCGAGGCCTTGAAGACCGAGGAGGAGCCAAATCAGGCATTTCCTCCTCCACCAGTGAGATCCTCGTTCCCACCTCCTCCAGTTAGAACTGTTCCGAAGGAGGAAGAAAAGGAGGAAGAAGAGAACGAATCTGAGCCAGAAGAAGAGAAGGAGCTCGAGCCTGCTCCTGCCTTTGCTTCTGCTCCTGCCCCTGCTCCTCCTACTGGACCACGTCCGGCCGCTTCTGCTGCTCCGTCAGCAGCTCCGACGGCAGTTGCAGAGTACGATTACGAGGCAGCTGAGGATAACGAGATCGGGTTTGCAGAGGGTGAGACTATCGTGGACATCAAATTTGTCGACGAGGACTGGTGGCTCGGAACCAATGCTGCTGGCAAAAGCGGTCTCTTCCCTGCCACATACGTTGTCCTGAACGAGAAAAAAGACGACGAAGAACCAGCTGCTGAGGAGGTCCCAGAATCAAAGTCAGAACCCGAAGCTTCCAAGGGACTGACTGCCGTTGCAGAGTACGACTACGACGCTACTGAGGACAACGAAATTAGTTTCAAAGAGCAGGATATCATCACAGAAATCGAGCAGGTCGACGAAGACTGGTGGCTGGGTTCCTGCAATGGCGAGAGAGGATTGTTCCCTGCGAACTACGTTAAGCTACAATAGTGCGAAGAAGGATATTAGCAAGTTGTATAAATAACATCTAGAATTGGTAGTTCACTCCAACTTTTTCTTGAAGAGCATTCCCCAGAGATACAGCGCCGGAGCTCCGGCAGCTGTTCTCCTAAGCCCGCGCCGTGCAACAATGCCCTCGTGGGCATTGAGAGACCTCACGTAGACCGGTATTTTGATCCAGTCGAGCTGGTTCAAATTTGCACACATCAACGTGCGCTTATCATCGTATGGTAGCGGTTCCAGCTTGTCTGTCAAAGGAAGCTCTGCCAGAGGGCCGACGTCCATCCTATGTGCGAAAACCTCGAGAGATTCAGCAGCTTTTCCGGCGTCAAAGTCGACCTCTGTTGGTTTTGTATCTTTGAGTGTTTCGGGTCCTGCCCTCGAGTCTATCGAAGACTCCTCTTTATCGCCCTGATCCTCGGCAGACAGCTCCTGGAGTGTGTTTTCAACGATCTCCTGAGTTGCTTCGGCTAATGGATCCTCGTGGTCTCTTTTTAGGGCGTGATGCTGGGCTTTGTTGTCCTCCAGCCGCTCCTGTAGGGTCTTCCATGCACGCCCATGGTTGAACTCCGGCAGGAGCGATTTCCTGATCGCGCTTTTGACTGTTCCAAATGCACTTGCCACTAAGATCACCGGCAGAACCAGCGGAAGAAGCATTATCATGACTCCAATGGCGATATTGCGGGTCCGTTGAAGATGATCAACTTCTGCCCTGTATTTCAGTTCCGGATGGTACACTGTGGCCTTCAGGTCTACGATTCGAGCCGGGTACTCTTTGCCCAGCACCTTGGCTGACGGTAACCCGTCCACGTACTCAATTTCCAGGTTTTCCCAAAATTCGAACGGATTGTAGTTGGAGATGTACGAGGTGGCAAAGCTGACAAGTCTGTCGTTGCGCACATTGGCAAGAAGTATCCTGACTTTGAACAAAGCCAGCCCTTTGAAATACTTGCTTTCCTTGTCTGCCATCGCGGGAAGCAGATCGGACTTGTAAATGAACAAGTCCCTTCCTGACTGTCCAACGAGTCTGCTACCAAGAAAATTCATCGCCCTGTCCAGAATCCGAGAGGTTCTAAAGAATCTTACTCCAAGATGTGGAGAGGCGAATGTGCTGAAGACCACAGGCTCAATGCTGTCAAAAAACCCAATCTCATACAATTCTCCGATACAGTATCTCGCAATCAGCCCCCCTAAACTGTATCCCACCACGCTAATCTTCTTGACTTCCACGTTCTCGTCGCTCCTCAAAGTTTCAATTGTATCAAATATATCTTTGATTACTCTGTCTCCGTTCACTTTGATGCCGTCGTAGGTTTTGAACGACCCGAAAGACGAGGGCTTTAAATAGTGGATCCGGTCTTCGGAAGATTGCAAACACTCCTGGAGAACCTGTTCCACCATGTCCATGTGGCTGGAAACTCCCCACAGACTATATTGTTAGCATCGGCGCCTCCTCCGAGCCAACTTACCCGTGGATCAGAACGACTAGATGGCCCCCTTTTGCCATCTTTAGTATAGGAAATAAATATCGAACCGCTGCAAAAAAACTGCGACGCGTCGATATTTTTTTTCCTATCGTTGACAATGTTTAGTGCTCCCGGAAAGGCCTTTGTGGCCGGAGGCTATCTAGTTCTGGACCCCAAATACAAAGCCTTCGTGATAGCCCTGTCCTCCAGAATGTACGCCCATGCTCATGTGGAGAACGGGACGGGAGAACACATCGAAGTGCGCGTCAAGTCCCCCCAGTTCGCTGAGGGAGAATGGTGCTACAAGATAGATCTTTCCAGACTGGATCGCGCTGAGGAGATACATGGCCGCGGCAATCCCTTTGTGAAGTCGACAATTGACGTTGTCTTGCTGTACCTGGCTCCAAAACAGACTAAGCGTATCACGGTCACCATCTTCTCTGACCCAGAGTACCACTCGCAAAAAGACTCTACGCCGAAAACCTCAAAAAACGGACTCAAAACCCTATACTTCCACTCGCAGCCGATACACAAAGTGGCGAAGACGGGACTGGGATCGAGCGCGGGTCTGGTTGCGTGCTTGACGACGGCTCTGCTCTCGTGTTTCAGCGAAAACTTTGACGTGAAAAGTGAAACCACACTCAACAGGATCCACAACCTCGCTCAGGTTGCTCATTGCCACGCCCAGGGGAAAATTGGCTCAGGATTCGACGTGGCCGCTGCAACGTTCGGCTCGATTGTGTACCGCAGATTCGATCCGCAGCTGGTGAACAGGGTGATAGAGTCCTGGAAAAATGAGGACCTGGTGCAATTGGTCGACAACACAGACTGGAAGATAGAACACACAAAGTGCTGCCTGCCTCCAGGAATAAAATTGCTCATGGGAGACATTGTGGGGGGTTCGGAAACCCCAAAGTTGGTCTCCAAGGTTCTGGAATGGAGGAAAAAGGAGCCCGAGAGATCGCTTGAGACGTGGACGCATTTGAACTCGAGCAACATGCGGCTCGTCGAGTCGCTCGAAAAGCTACAAGACTTCAGCAAAAGCCAGCCAGAGACCTACAAATTGTCGCTCCGAAGTCTGGTGGAAGGCAACAAAAGCGGCTTCAGCGACGTCGTCTCGAGTATACAAGGAATTCGCCGGTACCTGAAAATCATGACTCTGGAAAGCGGCGCGGAGATTGAGCCAGACCAGCAGACAGAACTGCTAGACTACTGCATGTCGCTAAACGGTGTTTTGGGCGGAGTAGTGCCCGGTGCTGGGGGCTACGACGCGGTGTGCTTGCTGGTGGCCGAGGAGGCCATTCGGGATGTGGTGGAACGTACAAAAGACCTCTCTGTGACGTGGTTGAACCTGCACGAGCAAGAAACAGGCATCCGCGAGGAAGACGTCTCGAGCTTTATCGGTTTTTTATAGATTAAGAAACGTAATTGGCACACCTCGCACCTGCCACAAATTTGTGCGGGACCCTTGCCCGCACCGCGAAGCCTCATCACGTAATGAAGCAAGTATAGTTAGTAAGTTAAAATACAAGGGCACCAGAATAGAGGGTTTGTGTTGTACCTTTGGCTATGTTGTCAACTGATCCAGCAGTGAGCATTCCGGACTTTTCTTCTTCCAATAGAAACCCTGAACAGTATGAGCTCAGCAGGTACCTTCCCCCTTATCGATCGTTATTGAACCCGAACCGAACTTTTGACTATCGTAGTCACAAGTATGTGGAGGGGTCCGTGGAATTTAAGTTCAGCAGTCTTTTTGCTAGAAAGAAGAAGCCCGAATCGAATATCAAGATGAAGTACCGGTCGCTGCTGACCCCGTTATCGAATACGAGGAAGCGTATCATGGATGCGGCTTCTGACACCCTGTCAGTGAAATCTCTGAGGTCTTCGCTTTCCGTTGCCAGCTTGAGGAAGTCTCCCAACCTGAGTGCCCAGCATCTGATGGATCTTCCGGATGAGATTCTGACAGCGATTGTCTCGTATCTCAGAGACGACCAGAAATCGCTGGTATATCTGCTCTATGTGAACAAGCGGCTGAATATGAGTGTCAAGCCTGTGCTCTACGAAAACCCGTACGTCTCCTCCACGTACAGGCTAGCTCAGCTGGTCCACACTATCAATAATAGCAAAGAACTGGCCCTCATGGTCAAGACCATTGACCTGTCGACAATAAATCCTGGCTTAGAGTTGGAGGAATATGCGTTCCGGTTGTATGACATATTCGCAGAGCAGGGTGACAATACAATGCCTATTGCCTCCAGCAGCAAAGACATACTTGCTGGCTGGAGAGACTGGAGATATAGAAACCACCCATTGTACGGGCTGCAGCGCACCCTCACGGGACAGGCTCACCGCTCATCGCGGAGCTCTCGACCGGAGATGAAAGATCGCAAAATGTCAGCTTCTTCGAATTCGACCACAGGCTCTCTATTCTCCAACAACGACGATTCCGAAACAGATTCGTCGCGCACACTGTCCGCTTCCCCAATCAGAACCAAAAGGAAAAAGCAAACTTTCAGGAACTCTTTGAAGCAAGTCTTCAAGAGTACGTCCTCGGCAACAGTCACAAACTTCGATATTTCAGACATGTACAGCGACCTCAAACTGACAAAATCTACAACTCCCAAGTTCCCTCCTAAAGTCAGTGACCTTGACTTCCTGACGCAGCCCGATCCTCTGGTTGTTGGCAAGAGCACACAACCATACTCGACGCCTCATCCGCTTCAGAACAGATTTTTGAGCCAGTATTGCTACTCCAAAGATATCCCAATTGGATACTTGTTGCACATTTTTCAGGAATGTGAGAATCTCGTTCACGTGGACCTCACGGGTGTCTCCTGCAGTAATGACTTCGAGATGAAAGATTACGAATACTTCAATTGGCAGACGTCCAAAGGCAAAATCAGGCAACTGCCTGTAATTGGCTACCGTTCTTTGTTGCTCGACACGGAGGAAGATGAGCGCAAGAGGAAAGAAGAAAGTGCCATGTTATCTCGATTCAAGACAGAAAAGCCAATATTCTGGTCCGACACGCAGCGTGAGATAGACTGGGAGAACACGGACTGTGTGCAGCTTGAATTTGACGATATCTGGAAACAACTGAATAAGCTGAAGAATTTGCGTACTATCAAACTTCGTTCTATCTGCTGGCTTGAGAAGTCTGTGATCAGGAAAATGGTGACTGATTCGCAATCCATAACCCACTTGGAGTACATCGATTGTACTGATTCTGGAATGAGAAAATCGTTAGAGTGGGCCAAACGGCGGACTGTCAAACAGTGGAAACGTTTCTTTCGTTACGAGGATGCGCCTCGTGCACCCCAGGTAGCGAGCCGGGGCTACAGTTTCGAGAATATTGGCCACGAGTATTACTGATGTATATTAGCGCATTTTACGCTGCTAGATTTTATTATGCTGCAATATTAATATCTTCAGTAAATTTGGATTGAACCCTGAATTCGAAGATATTGATTTTTACATATTCCACTTCCATCTATTTTCTCACCAACCTTCTAGACCTAAGCGGTAACCACGATCTTTGTTTTATGGTTTGCGCACGATCTCCTAGTCTCGTCAACATGTGACGACTAAAAAATCGGGGTATCGGAACCAGCAAACATACTGCAAAATGCAAATCTCATGATGTACTGCCCTAATGCACCACAAAAATAGTGCTATTCACTGGCCCCGCGACGGAAGTCATTTGCCACCGAAGCTTTGTAGATGACTTGGCGACTACTAGGAAAATGTATGTTTTCGGGCAATGTGATGCTGAATGTGCTCATTTTTTGTAGACACTGACAAGCTTAATTCCGATGCGTTTATATCCCTAGCGGTGTTTTGTTCTCTCATTTTCTTTTGTCGTTTGTGCTACCAATTCCGATTTTGCTACCAAACAAAAAAAAAAAATTATTTCGCTTCGTGCTACCGTCTGCTACCAAGCGAACGAACCCGTTAAAACACCTTGGGATCTAAAGTGGGAAAACAGGCCGGAGAAGCCAGATTTGTCACTCAAGTTTCCAATAGGGACCATTTTAAGCTTCTTTCCGAACACTTTTACTACCCTATTTTACCCGAAACCCTGCTACCATTCAAAGCCATCTTTCAGTGTACATATACTCAACGCCCTGAAAATGGACAGAAGACTCCCATTTCCAAATTACAACGGCTACCAGAGACCATATGTGTCGGCTGGCGAGCCCAATACTGGCCAGCCACTTCCGTCGTTGTCGACGCTTGGGTCTTTGCCCACCGTGTCAACAGCGCCGACCGCGTCTACAACGGGGATTCCGGAGGAATCGCGATCGCCCAAACAAATCCCATTGGCACAGACACATCAAGACCATCTCATGTCCATAAACAAACACGTGATGAAAACCTTATTGCAGTCAAAATCCGGGGATGGATTACCTCCACAAACGCCTCCCGAAAAGCCCAATCTTGGGCGGAGCCGCCAGGACGGGCCGCTCGAAATCCCCCGATTCATTCCATTCCCGGGCTATCCCATCATACCTCCGGGCTACGTGCCGGTGATGATGTCTCCGCAAGGTTTTCTGGTACCGATGCAATTTTCGCAGACCCCTGTCAAAGACGACGAAAAAAACAACGAAAATTTTACGACCCCAGAGCACCACAGTCCTCGCCCCGCGAAGGTGAGCAGGATTGCGCAGCTGATCAACTCCCCAACTTCCGAGCCGCAGCAGCTCTATGGTGTTGGAAATGCGGGTCCAATGGCTTTTCCAGGCAGCGCAACTTTGAACTCCAAGGACAAATTGGCTGCCTTCCAGCTATGCCTGGTTTCGCAGGAGTATTTTTCAGGATTGGGGCCGCGGCTGTCGCAGAAAGAACAGAAGCTGGTTGATGGGCTGAAGGCATTTGAGCCCGAAGTCACAGGCCATGATATTGAAAAAGTGCGTCAAGAGTACGCAAATCAGCTGAACCTTGTATCCAACACGAAAACCATCGAAAAGCCATTTTCAAAACGCAGCCATCGGGTGAATAAGATACTGCTGGGGCTAGAGCGTGACATGGCGGAAAAACGCGACTACGAAGTACTTCGATTACAGCTATACAAAGACTACCGGAGAAAACAGATTATAGACGAATACGTTGGTCAGACGATGGAGATCTACAGCGCGTTGTGCCGCGATTACACCACGCGGCTGAGCAAGCTAAAAAAGTTCCTGCTACAACAGAAACAGCTGTTGGAACGAGAAGATGCTGAGTTCTTCAACGTTGCTACCGCAGACTCGGAGCGGCTCTGGCGAAGCACGCTTTCAGCTTCAGCAACAGAGCCTCAAGAGACTGCTCCACCGCCTAAAAAGAAGCAGAAAGTGGAGCTGGAGCAACAGAAACTGTCGGACAACGACAGCTACTCGTCGTCGGCCTCTGTTTCAGGGCTGCGCTCGTCGTCGAGAATCAGCAAGCAGTCGAAAGAGGACGCAAGACACAAGAAACGGCCACATCCAGTCAGCAAAGAGCCTGTGCTGGACGCGATGGCCCCCATATCCACAGAGGAGCAGTTCCAGATGGTCACCAATCCAAACTCCAGAACGTACGAGACACATGTGATTGGTAGCTCGGACCCGTCCATCGCAGGCCAGAGCGATCTAAACGAATTGGCCGAGCACTTCAAAACGGAGTCTACGCTGGCTGCTGTCATCAAGCGGAAAGAAGAAGAGGCGAAGGGCAAAAAGAAGAATAAGGTGCTACGAGACCTAATTATGGCACACGAGTCTCAACAGGCGAAAAACAGAGGAAATGGAGGCCAACGGTCATCGACGGCAGAATTGCTGAGCGTGCACGAGAGTGACACGGACATGTGGAACATAAACTACTCTCTCGCACTGGTGCGAGAATACAAGCTACCTCTGGGCCTGACGCAGGAGGAGATTGACGACGATCTGGCTGAGCTGGGTATCTGACGGTGTATGGAATAGAAGGGAAAAACCCAGCTGGTTACCCTACCATGCATTGGACCAGGATTTACCCGGGCCTGAATTTTGGGCCCGCCTCGCGGATGCCCGGTAAAGTGCGTAAAAGATGGTACGTATTTCGCTGAAAATATAGGAAAAAAAATTTTCTTGGTGTACGACGAAGACGAATAGGTCCAGACTGAAAAAAAAAATGTATTGCTTGAATACTTTTGATTCAACTTATTTAAAAACTTATCAAGATGGCTGAAGAAGAAGTAAGTAGCCAGCCGTGCGATAGCCGCCTCTCTGTACTCTAACCGCCTAGCACACCTTCGAGACCGCTGATGCTGGTTCCTCTTTGACCTACCCAATGCAATGTTCTGCATTGAGAAAGAACGGTTTCGTTGTCATCAAGGGCAGACCATGCAAGATTGTTGACATGTCCACCTCGAAGACGGGTAAGCACGGCCACGCCAAGGTCCACTTGGTTGGTATTGACATCTTCACCCAGAAGAAGTTGGAGGATCTCTCTCCATCTACCCACAACATGGAGGTCCCATTCGTCACCAGAACCGAATACCAACTGTTGGACATCGACGACGGCTACTTGAACTTGATGACCAACGACGGTGAGACCAAGGATGACGTCAAGGCCCCAGAGGGTGAGTTGGGCGACAAGCTGCAAGCCGACTTCGACGAGGGCAAGGACTTGCTGGTTACCGTCATCTCTGCCATGGGCGAGGAGGCCTGTGTCTCCTACAAGGAGGCTCCAAAGGGCAACTAAATGCGCAGCTTCAATGGCAGCATATATAATATAAAGGATGTTTATTTAATTTCAAATAAACAGACATATTCGTTCACCTACTCCAAATTATCGAGGTAGTGTAGTCTGTCCAGCACAACCTGTTTGCTCGTCTCCTGAAACTCTCCGCTCAGAAACATCTCGTCCAGCACCTGGTATACCTTGTAGAAATTGAAGATGATATCTAGCTCGCACACGTTGTTGAAGTAGCTATCGAGTACTTCCACCGTCAAATGGACCATCTCCAGATAGCTCAGCTCATTGTCCTGCACATCAACGGCCATCACGAAAAATAAACCGTTATATCGTCTGTACACAAGCTTCTGATTCTCGAAATTTACGAAGTTTGACTGTTTCTGATGATCTCGCGAAGAAATCAGCCTATGCACCTTCAATATCGTCTGTTTCTTCTGCTTATCGGGGACACTGGTATACCATTTGGAAATGCGCAGCTTTCCCTGTCGATTTAGCGCAATCAGAAAATGTATGCTCATGGGTTGTGCAGCTATTATCGTAACCTTTAGAGTTATCTAATTTCACGCCGATCGACCCCAGTTTTTCCGCCTAAAATTTTTCTGCGTCGTTCATGTCAAAAACTTTGTCCCGGTGGCAGTCGGATTCTTCGTCATACATAATTTATTTTGTTTCTTTTAAATCTACAATATCGGCCCCCTACAGTCGGATCTGCTACTGATACAGTCAGATATCCGCTTCTCTGAACTATATAAAAGACCATACGGTACGATCACCTGCATTTTGTGTCTTAGGGATACTGCATCACCGTCCCTCGAGTTGCCATTTTTCTGAAGGGCTAACTATAAGGCCTTATCAAATTTTTTTCACTAGGTTACCCTGTCCCTTTTTATTTTTTTTTTTTTTGGCGAGACAAAGCGTGTCGCAACTACGCGCCTATACATCACGAGCAGACTCCAACATTGGATTGATACAGTAGGAGAGACAATCCATCTTGTCAATTCATGATCTCGTCTGAAGAGAATATAACATCACAGCAAAAGAGTCAATTAGCTCCATTTGTGGATAGAATACTAGCTAGTCCCCTGAATTTTCATCGTGCGAAGCACCCAGATACAGTTGCATTGAGACCATCCACATATATTGCTTTCAGAAGCTCTAAACATCGCAAGGATAAGAAATTGGGATTCAAGCCTATAGACGATCTCACCACTCCAAAGCCTTCGAAAGAGGACACGATGCCAAGACCGAAATCGATGGCTGAAGCAGTAGCTCTTTACACCGGTAAAAGATATCTCTCGAAGAAACAGAAAAAAGAGCTCGAAGGGAAACCACTAAAGAAACAAAAATTGCAGGAGCCGAAAGACATTAAGGAGCCGGTGCTTTCCGACAGTGAATATACCAAAGACGCGGCCGGAGAAGAAGAAGAAAGCAGCGACGAGAATTTTCAAACGGCCGATGAGAAAGACGATGAAGATGATGACGAGGATGAAGGCTTGGCAAGTTCTTCGGATGAGTCGGATGAGGACTCCGAAGACATGGAGCAGCTGAAAAGAGATTTGAAAGAAGATGCTCACAAAGGACTTGACGAGGAAGATGAGGAACTGGACAGTGATGCTCTACGTCAGATCAAAGCCGAAATAAATACGAAGGACGAAGACTTCAAGGTTTTGCCAAAGGGTAAAGAGACTCCGCCGACTTCTCCTGAAGATCAGGTAGATTTGATCAAGGGGGAACTTGTGCATTCCAAGTACGATGACTCGGAGTTCTATGATCTTGACGAAAATTATAACGATCAGGGGTCTAATGGTTCTATTAGGATATACAAGTCTTGGAGAGAGTTCAAGAACAAGCCAGGCCCCTTGGGACTACTGAACCATGGTGTGACCTGCTATATGAACTCTGCAGTCCAAGCGATGTGCCATATTCCTGCCGTTCTGCATTATCTTGTCGATGTTCACAACCACAAGTACAAAGGCTCGATTAGTCCAACTTCTGTCACTCAAATCCTGGCCGACACCGTTGCCAAAATGTACAGGCTGGACAACAAGGGAGAAAAGAAAGTGCGCACAATTAATCCTAAACGTCTCATCAAGCGGTTGGGTGACATCAATTGCATGATGTCGGAATGGCAGCAAGAGGATTCTCATGAGTACTTCATGTCGCTTATGTCTCGTCTACAGGAGGACTCAACTCCAAAAGGCGTCAAACTCAATCAAAGCATAATATATGACATTTTTGGAGGCCTACTTAGCCAATCGGTCACCTGCAAAAACTGTGGCCATATTTCCACAACGGCTCAGGAATTTTACGACCTGTCGCTTGGACTGGACAACGTCAAAAAGAGAAATAGTAGTTTACTGGATCCTCAACAACTGTTTGAGCTGAAGAACAAGATAGAAGCTGCCAAATCCAGTGAGCCCGACGCGAAAAACAAACTCTCCGATTTCTTGAAACAGAAAATCTTACTCGCACAGGAAGAGAGAAGAAGTCGTTCTCAAACGCCAGAAGCTTCAGAATTACAGAATCCGAATTCCCAGTTGTCGGATACCAACGACAGCGAAAAGTCGAGCCAGCTTCCTGACCAACCCCTCTCTCCGCCGTCATATAGATACTCTTTGGAGAATTCTATCAGGGACTTCTTCTCTCCTGAACTCTTGAAGACCGACAAAAAGGACAAGTCGGGCTATACATGCGAGAATTGTAAGAAGACCACAAACGCGATCAAAATATCCACCATTGAGCGTGCCCCAGAGACTTTGACCATCCATCTCAAACGATTCCGTTTCAATGGTTCCTCGTCAATGAAGGTTAAGGCGAACGTGACATATCCTGAGACCTTGGATTTATCAGAATACACAACTTCGATGAATTCTCCGACAAAATACAAGTTGAGCTCGGTAATTGTTCATCAGGGACGCTCCGTCTCTTCTGGCCACTACGTAGCTCATTGCAGACAACCAGATGGGTCTTGGGCTACATATGATGACGAGTTCATCAATAAGATCAAAGCCAGGGATGCGTTGAGCGATGAAAGTGCGTATGTTCTCTTTTACTCCAGACTCACTCACAAGTCGATTGGCGACAGAAAGAGAAAGTCTCCTGTTAGGAAGGAAAAGTCCAAGAAGAGGTTCAAGAGCAATAATTCTAGATGAGTGATTCGCATATGTATATTACGAGATCGAATCATGTTCGACCTCTTCATGATCGCTATGTACAAATAGTCTAAATATTTACGGGACAATGTGGACACCAATGGATTTTGCTGTTTCCACAACGCTCTTGCAAATATGCTGTAGAGGCGTACTTTTCAGCTGCTCGTCTTTTTGCTTGATTTTGGCAATTTCGTAAACGTGTTTAAGACTCAACTTGATTGGCGACTTTTTAAGTCCTGGTTGTCCTTTCTCTATTCCAGCAGCCTGCATGAGCAACCATGCAGTAGTTGGAGTTTTGATGTCAAAGGTGAAAGTCCGGTCAGGCTTGACGATAACTTTGACTGGGATGGGTATTCCTGGCTGAAAATGAGCCGTTCTGGCGTTGAACTCTTTGCAAAAATCGATAGCCTTGACACCCTTAGAACCAAGCGCTGGACCGACTGGCGGCGTTGGTGCGGCCTGGCCTGCGCCCACTATGAGTTTGATTAATGAGTTTTTGGTTGACATGGATGGAAAATAAGCAGAAAAATTATTTCCAACTTGCACGATTTCACTGATCGCTTAATTTCTGAAAAAGAGAGGTCGATATATATATAATTATTAGGAATACAGTAATCATTTCTTGCCTTTCTTCTTTCTCTCAAGCATGGCAATATGAGCAATGCTTTGGTCCACTTGAGTGTGTTCATGGTCCGTAGACGGAATCAGCTTATGTTCACACTCATCGTTGACCAGGGTGCACATTTGGACTGATTGCAACCATGGGTCGTTGAAACATTCGTCTATCGTTATACGGCAAGCGGGCGCCAACGACACCATTCTTCCAATCATTGGACGGCATTCTGGTGCAAGCGCATTCAGCAAACGCTGTTCGCCCATTAGGTTGGATGTGTGCTTCAGAGGATCTTCACTATCATGTGTCTCATTCGAGTTGGAGGCAGATGGGGGCGGAGTAGGCATCTCGTCCGTATGAACGACGGTGTTCAGCTCTTCTTGGTGTTTCCCCTTTTCTTTAGGGTAGTCTTGCTTATTCTCCAGATCCTCGTAGCTGGGAGGGTCTGGCAGACGTCTCAGCAGATTGCCAAAAGTGACTCCCGGTTCCCTGGACGCAAATAGTTTGAAGCTAGGATCAGACAGCTTAGGAACTTTCCATGGGAACTTCTTCAGCGTCATGCAACAGTAGATGATAGCTGCTGACCAGATATCGACGGGGCGTGGATCGTACTTGTTAAAGACACACACTTCAGGTGCAAGATACGGGTCCGAGCCAACGATTCCCTGGGCCTCGATAAGAGTGCTCGAAAACGGGTACTGGAACACCACAGCAGAGCCGAAATCGATAAGCTTCACAATTCCATCTTTGGACACCACACAGTTATCCAGCTTGAGGTCTCTGTGAGCCAAACCGATCGAATGAATATACCGGATACCATTCAAAATCTGTTTGAAACAGCAGTTGATCTCTTCAGGGCTCATTTTGTTTGACATCACAATGGCAAATAAGTCGTAGTCGCAGTATTCCATGACCTGAACGATTCTGTCATTTTCGTACGAGATTTCAATGGTCTCAATAATATTTGGATGCTTTAACGTGGATCCAATGCAGTACTCACTTGTGATTTTCTTGATGTATTCCCTTCTGGACTCGTGCTGGTACTTGGCTCTGAACTCTTTCACTGCAAAAACTTTAGAGTCCGAAACTCGCTTGACCAGTCTCACTTGTCCACCTGCTCCGGCTCCCAAGTTCTCTCCAAATTTACTGTACCGCTTACTGAAGGGTATCTGCGGCGTGGTGTTTCCACCGATAGACAATGGAGTCTGCACAATGTTGAAGTAAGATCCTCCTGGGCTCGATAAGCTTGGAGACGAAGGTACCCGTTTGCTGAAGTCCAGAGGCGAAGTGCTGTATTCTTGGGATGGAGACGAGGGCACGGTGTCAGACCCGGCAAATAATTGTCCGTTAAATGTGACGCTAGACGAAGGAGTGGTCGTCGTGATTTGCGGAATGGATGAAATGGAACCCTGACGCTGGACGCTCAGGCCGGCGCTCAAGTTAGAGGTTCTTGGCACTGCAGACTGGCCGTTGCCTAACGAAACAGACTTGCGGAAAAATCTACGCAAGTCTGCCATTGAGGAATGCCGCGATCCGGGTGCCGTTCCGTTGGTGACGCTCTCTGCACTCGACTGAGATGACGGGGACTGACCGACTTGCTCCTGTTGCGGAGACGACGAAAAATGGTCCGCGGTTGCCGTGCTTCTTCTGGATTTAGAGAAGAAATTCACAAGCGAAGTATTTGATCTGGAACTGCTGAGAGTTCCGTTTGCAGCCGCGGCAGCCGCGCGCGCCTCCTGTACCTGCTGAACCTTCTGTTTAGAAATGATGAATCTGGGCTCAAGCTGTTTCGGCGACGAGATTGCCGGCGACGAAATCTGCGTAGCGGAAATCAGCTGTCCATTGGATAAGTTGACTGCCGGAGAGCCGAGAAACGTCGAGGAGCTGTGAACAGAGGTGGACAGTGACGGGTGTCCGCCAGGAGCAGAGTAGGGGATTGTGCTGGACAGCGAGCCGGGCAGCCCACTGTTGGAATGTACGCTGGCTGGTCGAAGAGCGTATGGCTGTTGAGGAGTTGACACTATTGGCTTTGGAGAAACCTGCACCTGCGAGACCGGTTCTATGTAATCTTCCCTGTATGAGGTTTCCGGGGACACTCCTTCCAAAGATATTGTGGTTGTTATGGTCTTGTGGAAATCGCTGTCCGTAGGATGTACCTCTGTGCTGTTTATCCTGACCTCTTGAGATGGAGGAGGCTGAGCGCGCTGCTCATTCATGAGTTTGGTGAGCGACGAAACGCCAGGCTTCCGGTCGTTTGAGGCCATCGTCGAACTAAATTGATTTAATTTACAAATGACTTGCAAGCTTTTTTTTAACTTCGCACCTGGACGAGTTGCTGATAAGATACGCCGCTGTGCGAGTTGCACATATTACTCAAATCAGCCAATCAGGTGAATTATTTAATTATTACAATGTATTTAGTAGTGCGGACGCTTATTGCTTTCATGAGCTTGGGAATCGTATCGTCTTTTACGACCTGAAGCTCGATCGTACTCATGTTCTGGCGCGGGTTGTCTGCTGCCATTGTTCGGTTGTCTGTGCGTCGAAAATTCTCTAGGTCGATAGTCGCGACTGCCCTTGTAGCTGCGTCCGGGAGGGTTCGACGGAGGAGGGAGAGGTGGGGGAGGCAACGGAGACGCAGAAGACGAGTCGGGTGACGAGCTGGCAGCAATGGATGCCTGCCGCTGCATAAGAAGCCGCTTTTCTTCTTCCAGCCGAGCCCGAAGCGCCGACGAACTCGTGCCTGACGGGCCAGTAGGCGTGCCGGCTTTGTAAGTGGTGCTCTGAGGCCCCAGCGGGACAGCGGGAGTCGCCGATCTCGAGGACGCTTTGCTCTCCGTTCCGGTATCTTTCGGTGGCTCTGAGGATTCCTTTTGCTGTTCTTCCTCCGGCTTTTCTTCCGTTGGCTTTTCTTCCTTTGACTGTTCCTTGGCAGGCTCCTTTTCCTCACGCTGCTCGTTTTCTGTTTCTACACCTTCCATTGTGTCCTCGGTGCCACCATTCGTAAGCGCCTCTTCGGTACTCTCGGCCACAGCTTGTACTGGTTCTGGTTTTTCATGCCTCACTTTTTTCTCCAGACCCACTAGACCATACGGTCTTGCCGTGAGCGTTGCTTTTTCTCGCTCCTTGCGTTCGGCCTCTCTTTTCTCTCTCTCCTGCATTTCCAACTCGGCCTTGCGGGCGCGCTCGGCGGCCAGCCGTTCCTCTCTCTTTTTCATCAGCTTCTCTTTTTCCTCGGGGTCCATTTCGTAAAACTCCCAGGTCTGAATACAGGAGGCCTTTTTGGACGAAATCAGAACAAAAAGCGCATTAGAGGCCAACTTGATATCCTCTCTAGAGTCTGACGAATATATGGAGGCAAGTTTGCGAGTCAGGATCTCAGAATGATCGGCAACGACAGGGAATTCTCCAAGGAGGTTCTTCAGAAATATGATCGCATTGTTCCGCGTAGTATACTGCTCGGAATCCAATGAAGCAATAATCTGTTTCTGTAGCGATTTGTGCCAATTGAATAGCGTCTTCCTAAACTCTTCAAACTGCAAGTGTTCTCCATCAGGCACTTTCAGTCCCGCAAGCAAAGGATCGGAATCTCCTTCCTTCCCCAATGCCTTGCTATCATACAGTTTGGCATCCTGCCTCCATGCATTAAGTTCTTTCAAGACATGCAAATAGAAAATTCCCAGGTTCTCTATCTCTAAGGTGGTGCTAGTGAACAGCGTAGGCTGGAGGAAACTGCATGTGAAAAGTTCGTTCAGAACATAAACCAACGAAAACCCGTAAGTGTTCAGCGAATGAGCAAGGAACAAAAAGTCTGCGCAGTAAACTGCATCGAACGGAGAGTGAACCATCCTTGGCAAGAAGCAGTGCTCTAAGATCTGTTTGGTACTCTTAGAAACAGTTTCCTCGTCTGAAACGTCTTTGAACCATTGGTCTTTCTTATTTTTGATACGTGAAATTGTGGCCTGGTAGTTGTTCTCGTGTTTTGTTGCATCACGACTCACGCGCGTGGAGATGAGATGCAGTTGACTGAGTTCGTGCTCGAGTCTCTGCAGCTCTTTCCTTGGAATGTCTTTGTCCTTGCGAGACAGAGTCAGCTTTTTGTTCAGCGTGCTTATTTTCGACTTGATGCTTGCCGACTCCTCTCCATAAGAAATCTTTTCATAGCAGATATCGTAGAGCGATAACTGCCAGAAGTCCGCGTAAAAGCTGGCACTCACAGCATTCCAATCAACTGGCAGCACAGCACATAATATTGCCTCGAGCTCCTCAATGTAGTCCGGATTCGCTTTCAGCTGTCTGCTCAAATGCCGTCTCCAGATCTGGAAAGCCCAGACAGGACGCACCCGAAACTGTCTGATAAGAGTGTCTAATGATATCATTTTCTCCTTAAAAATGTTTGTGGGGAGACATTCGTCGACCATCGTCGTGAACGTGTGAATCAAAGAGTTGAGCTCGTCACAACGACGGTTTAGAATTTTTAGCGGAGCTTGCACAGAGTCGACTGTTTTGTCTGGGAGGTTGACAAGAAGGATGAACAACTCCGCTAAAATGTCCAGACTTACCAGAGTATCCAGTAGTTTGCGCGAACTTGTAAGCGATTCTGCTCTCTTGTCTTGAATCACCATATAAACAAGTTTTTGCAGACTCGTCTCTGAGTTGAGCAAGTATATTTGCCTAGAGGTCAAGTTGTTGATATGCTGTACACCACTCATAGATCCGACAATCTCATTGACCAGAATGATCAGGTCGGTTGATCCATTGTTGAGACTTTTCGTGACAAGAGTGAGGATCGGCCCCAGTTGGAACTGCTCAGGTCTATATTTGGCCAATTTACCGACAAATGACGACAAGTTTTGAATCCATTGCATATAATTTAGTCCATCTTCCTGCATCGCTTGTCTATTGGAGTTGAGCTTGTTGCACAGCTGAAAGGTGAGAGAATCCCAGACAAAAGCACCAAAGTATTTTGATGCTTCCACAATTAAATCACTCAAGCTGCTGTAACTTTCAATATGGTTGACAAAAGTCGAAGTGACTGCCAAGGGACTTCCAGAAGCAATCCGCGTCAGTTGGCGCATTAGAGCTTCTCCGTTTGCCGTGGATAGCCTCTTGAGGATATCCTTTGTCTTCTTCTCTGCAATGTCGAAATTCTGCTTGATCTCCAGATCGTTCTTCGAAATCACATTCTGGTACTCGCCATACAAAGAGTAACGTGTTTCCAGCGGGTAGAAGTCGAGCAGTATTGAAAAGGCTTCATTTACAACAGAGGCATTGTTGGCGAATGAAAGGGCTGGGAAAATGAACTTGCGGTAAAGCTGTAATACCTGGTCACGATCGGCTCCTTTTTGTAGCTGAAACCGCAAAATTCGAACTAGCTTGCTAAATAGAATCGAGTCCTTTGCCACCTTCACGCCATTGAAGCAGAGAAACTGATGGCAAAATTTCACGAAGTCTTCAAAAGACTCAACCAGCCTCAAGGAAGTGTCTGGCACCGGCTTTCCTATGCCTGTTATACCAATTGTGTTGTAGTATGGAGTTACAATATCGTTCGCCAGGTCATTGACTAAATTGCAAACCTCTTCATCTATCAGGGGCAAAAACGGATGTTGGACCAAGATGAACAGAGCCTGATCGTACATTTTGGATTGCAAGATGTATTTCAGGAATTTGATTTTGGCAATGTACTGCGACTTCTCCTGGACTGAGACCTTTTTCTCAGGAGCAATAGGAGCCTGCTCGGCTCTGTTAGTTGTCGAGGATTCACCTGTGTCGTCATCATCATCGTCATCCAAAGCCAGAGGAGCTGCGAGGGCAAGAGCAGAAGCAGTAGCTTTGAAAGCATTCTCCTTCAGTTCGTCGTTGTACTGAGTGTACAAGGTGTCGAGTTCTGTGTTTTCTATTGGTTTAACAGCAAAGTTGGCATCAGATTCAAACTCCAAAGGTTGTAACGAGTTGTAGACTGAATGGAACTCAAGAATTCCTTCCTTTATCAAAAGAGTTATTAGTTTAAGTTCCAACGGAACCTTCTCTTTTGTATCTGCATTCAAGAGAAATGACACTACCACCAACTGTAACATCTTTGAGTGCTGGGAGGTGAATATGCTGTTTTTGATGACTCGTAAAATCAGTTCTTCGTTTTCTTCAAGGTAAAATGCAAATACACTAAGCATCAACAGAAACGACCTCGTGATGTCTAATCTAAAATGACCAATCAGCCGCTCAATTACGTGGTTGAAGTATGTGACCTTGCATAGAGCATCCTCCTGATAAAATATGTCGATGAGCTCCACTGCCAGTTTTGAGTAGCCTTCGCTTGACTCGTGAAGCGAGGAGTACGTGACCACACCGTAGTCGTTCACTCTGGCATCGCTAAAATAGCATTTGTTAAAGTCGGGAAACAGTCCATTCTTGAGAATTGAAAAGTCGAGATACTGTCTTTTGAACTGGTTGTCAATCTTCACAGCCTGAATGAATGCATTGAGATGAGGTTTGGGATTGCAAGCCTGAAAGATCAGCAAGAATTGCACCGACAGCTCTTGTCGCTCCTTCACATTTGGGATGGTAGAAATGATTGTGTTCACAAGATTGGTCAGGTTGTTTATGGGGATCCTTGAGCTGAAGTCGTTCAAACAAATAACAATCTCGTAGAACACTTCGCTCGGCGAGATGTCTTTTTGAACGATTCGCGACGTCAAGCTCTCAACAGTCTGTTTCCAGTTGGAAACCGCTTGCTCATCAAGAAACTTCCACGCGTACTTGTACGCAGAAACATTCTCGACCTGGCGAGTTTCCTCAGTCATGATGATCGATGATTGAAAAAAATAATTCGAAATAATAATCTTTTTCAGATATGGTACGTGTCTAGATTATGTGTTCTAACAAGTAGGCGGATAAGATCAGAGAGAGGCAGCTTTACGAAGCGCTCAAGAGCAAGCATATCGGACTGGGAAATGAGGATACAACGAGAACAGAGTATATCGGCAACATCAAAAGAGATACCTACGCAAGCCTGGTGGCCCACCCGGCCATGCTAGAGTTTCTGTCAATCAGTTACAACAAACCTAGACAAATTGTACACACTGAGATGATAGAGAAGATGATCCGGCCTATGGAGACGAACAAGTAGCTCAGCTCAGCAGTGGAGCTTGTTCTTCCCTGTTAACGGTTCTCAGACCCGATCCGAACATGATCACCACCGAAACCACAAAGTTGACGGCTGCAATGATGAAGGCAAACAGCCATTGTAAAGCAATCACTTTGGTGAAGAGCTGGCCAAATCCAAGGCCCAACATCAGCAAACTGGTGCTCAATCCAATGGACCAGTCCTGGTAGAAGACTAGGATTGCCAGAGGAACGACGAGGAACTCCCAGACCAGCACATTTGCCAAAATCCGTGCCAGGAGAGACTTGTTGTGCGAATGGAACAAACAAGCTCCATTCCAGAATATGGCATACATTGTCCAAGACAGCGGCAGAGCCGTGACTGGGAAGTGGACAGTGAGCCAATCGCTGACGTTCTTGATCGCAACAGTGCGATGAGTGAAGTAGAGGGCCAAAAGGTTGAGCAAATTGATGACAAGAACCAATTCACCCAGGGCAAACTTCTCCTTGTGGAAAAAGTAGCACCAAAGGAAATGCAGCGCGTTGTTAATGGCGAAATGAGGGCCCACTATTTCACTGATGGCAGCCTTGTTCTCTGCTGCAACAGTCTTGTCAAAGAAGACTTTGACAATGAAAAACACCTGGAGCAACATTGTCACCAACCAATAGATGTCGGTCACAATGAAGAACCCTGTGAACGGGGTCCTGTAGTGCTTTCCAAAGTGGCTAAACAGGAACAAGAATATTGTTCCGTAGGCCGACAGCAGGAACGACGCGACAATCAGGGCCTTTTGCGTGAAAACCTTCGATTCAGTAGTCATGATGAAGAAAGTTAATGAGACTTGGATTTTAGTTTGCTACTTCCTCGATGCGGCTCGGATTTGCGGATTTAAAATATTATTTTCCAAAATATTCCTGCAGATCAGCAGCAATGCATATTGGAGAATACAAAGCAGCTGACTCCATCTCTGGCATCAAGCAGCATGTATATCGTAAGTTTCCTTATTATGTCTAATTTGGTAGACTCTAATTGTGAAGTAAGGAGCTAGCCCCGCTAACTCAGCTTACTTATCTAACGTGGCACGACATAAAATATATAAGCTGATTTGCCTGTCGACAGACGATATATATATATATGTAGAAGACCACCTCCTTCTGCGACTACCAGCTATGATTGACTTATGCCACGCTGATCGAGAAGAAAAAATATTCAATCGCCTGAACTCTGACTGCCATATCCCCGTGCCAAGCCCTACGGTTTCGCGAGCCTCATTTGAAAGGTACAAGAATAATTCGAAGCGCGTGGCTAATCTGCTGAAGCCCGCTGTTGAAAAATATCCAAATTATGAACTGGTGCAACGATTAGAAAAACTTACTTCCAAGTACCACACCTCGGTCCCTATAGTGATTTCCTCGTGGCTGGGAAAGGATGGCCTTGCGCTCCAGCTACACGACGACGATAGACAGCTTCTTGACGAAACGCTCCTTCTCTAATTTATACCCGTCTCGCAAAATTCGCATAATATTAGACTTACACTATTATAATGATGATCCAGCTATGTCCCATGCAATTGTGAATTTTGGCTTTCAAGTCCAGTAATTACAAGTCACTCACTCCTTCTGGGGTTCCTCGGATTGCTTAGGAACCTCAACCGGACCGTTTTTCTCGAGCCAGTCGGTAAAGGAGCCAACGTAGTTCAGTCTTTTTCCGTAACCGAAGGTGCTAGCAAGCTCCTCAGACATGCTCGATCTTACACCCGCGAGACAGTAGAAAAGCAGGGTTTTGGACGGGTCTGGCTTAGGGAATCCAAAAGTCTGCTCAAACTCCTCTGGAGAAAGGCCAAGCGCACCGGGACTCGAATTGACTGGAATATTGATAGCACCGGGAATGTGGCCTTTGGCGTACTCTTCTGGCTCTCTCACATCAACAATAACGTTGTCTGGATCTTTCTTCTCGACAAGTTCTTTGACCTTCGAAAAGTCAATTACTGGAGCTTGCGACTCCTCTTCCAAAACACTATATTTGCGAATTGGAAATCTCGGGGCAGAAAAGGCCACGGAGGCTCTGCTCACCTGAAATCTATAAACACCGGTGGAACGCAGAGACACAAGTGATCTGGTCAAAGGGCGGGATTTGGCTAATAAAGCCATAGGGCGCAATTGTCTGAACATTGTTGTTAATCTTATCAACAAGATTTCTTATTTGCCGTTATTTTTTCTTAGGTGAAGCACTAGCCATACACGCCTCAGCCACATCTTTACATACCTCTACGGAAGTTCTGAGCCATCTGTCTCATGGCCGGGTTGTTCATCATCTGCCTCATTTCTGGAGTGTTCATCATCTTCATCATCTCTTGGGGATTTGGCATTCCGCCACCACCCATCAGCTGGCTCATGTCCGGCATGCCTCCGCCTAGTCCTCCCATCATCTTATTAATATTTTGCATGAGAGATGGATTCGACTGCATCTGTTGCATCGCTCTTTGCATGTTCTGCGGGTTGAACATCCCGCCACGACCGCCTGCCATTGGGTTGGCTCCACCTTGCTGCATGCTCTTGGTTGTCTGTGCCATTCTGGCAAACATCTTCTGTTGCATCAGCACCGCTTCGACCTCCGTCACAGACGTTCCAGATCCACGCGCGACTCGCACAATCCTGCTTGGCTGGTCCACAAATATATCTCCGTCGCTGTCAAGTTCCTGTTTGGTCATTGAATCCATCACATAGACCATTCTTTTGAATCTCTTAGACGTTTCTTCCTCGCCAACCTGGTTCATCATCTCGCCAATGCCTCCAGGCAGCATCTGAGCAATCTTCGATAATGGACCCATCTTGAGAATGTTGTTCATCTGCGTCTGGAGATCTCTCAACGTGAACTTACCTTCCTGGAAGTTTTTGATCGTGTCTTTCTGGTCGAGGTTCAGCGACTGAACGTGTTCCATAAGGCCCTGTATGTCGCCAATGCCCAGCAACTTGGAAACAAACTGTCTAGGAGTGAAACTTTCGAGATCATTGATGTGCTCTCCGGTACCGATGAATGCAATCGGAGTATGCGTAGCAGCCACGGCAGAAATAGCTCCTCCTCCCTTGGCGTGGCCATCCATTTTGGTGAGGATTATGGCTCCAAAGTTGGACGACTCTTTGAAGGCACGCGATTGAGACTCGGCAGCCTGACCGATCGAAGCGTCCAAAACCATGATCGTCTGATTTGGCTGCACAGCCTCTCCGATTTGGATCATTTCCGCAAACAGCTCGGACTCTTGACGATGCCGTCCGGACGTGTCCACAATGATGATCTCGAACTTCTCTTTCTTGAACTTCTCAACACCGTCGGAAGCAACTTTCACAGGGTCTGCCTCGGTGTAGGAACCGTAGTACGGTATTTTTGCCTTTGTCGCATTCTGTTTGAGTTGGTCAAATGCACCAGCCCGAAAGGTATCAGCACACACCATTCCCACCTTGAAACCTCTCCTCTGGTAGTACACGGCGAGTTTTGTACATGTGGTAGTTTTACCCGCACCTTGAAGACCAACAAACATGATCACATTGGTCTTTTTCTTCTTTGGCTTGTAGAGTTCGGTCTCCTTGCAGTCAACCAGGTCACACAGCTCATCAAAAACAGCCTTCTGGATCAGCTTCTTTTTGTTAACGCCTGGCTTCTCCTCCTTCTCGATGGTCGCCTTGAGCTTTTTTCGAAGATTGAGCACCAGTTTGACGTTGACGTCTGCCTCAATCAGCGCGTTCGATATTTCCTTCAGAAGACCATCGACCGCCGTTTGATCCACAACATTGGCCTTCGTCACCTCCGAGACCGCGCTGTTGATCCGCTTTCCTAAATCTGCGAGAACCATTATAACAGGAGGTCGACAATATTTTCAACTTTTTAAATTGACGTCGCACATCTATACACCCGCAACAATTTGGTTGCAAGATTGGGGCTGGCACAATTACGGCTGATCAAAAGCGCTGTGGTTCCGCACTCTCCTGCAGCTTCGAAAGCTCGCTTAGATTAGCTCAGAAAGTTTAGCAGCCTTCGCTCTCTGGGTCTCAAGCGACGTCCAAATACACCCTTGCACGGAGTTGGTACGATTTAGGTTTTAAGATCTCCAAACTTGGCCATGAATGTCTTCAGTGCAATCCATTCCTCCACCTCTAACCTGATCTCGAAGACAGGAAATGCGGGAGCAAATGGCACACGGCCGCCTCAACTGTTGTACTTTTGCATATTCGACCCATCTCTGGGTGACCCCAGCAGGGAAGATGATCAACAACTGACAAACCAGATTCTCGTATATCTCAACTTCGAGGATCGGGAAGTCCGTGACACCGAGAAAGCTAAACGAATTGGATTTATTCAAGGACTTGGTGCATTTGCCGGCCGTTTCCACAGTTCTGGCGGCGGTCTTTTGAATTACATTGACACAGATAAATCTAGAGTGGTCACAGGGATCTTTGAGGAAAAATACCATTTCTTCTGTGGACTCAAATTCGCCAAAGTTGGGGAGTCGTATGTGCGACGAGGCGTCGCACCGCCAACGTACTTATTGAATGAGTTTCAGTATGGCTACAATCTTTACCGTATAAACTATGGACCCATAGATCGGAACGCAAAAACACGACTAGAAGATTGGTGGCGGATCTGGCTGACGCAGAAATTCGAGTATCCGTCAGGCTTTGGTCTGACTGGCCGAGGAGTGCTGAACTTGCTTTCGGGATATCGACGTTCGTCCGTGGAGCTGCCGCTTGGGTTCAGGGCTAACCTTAAAAATGGTTTGAAGCAGTTTAGCTCAAAAAACGGCTCGCTGGTCGACTTGTTGGTTATCAACACGAACTGGACACCAACAAAGAACTTCGGCGTGATATACTTGAACGACGAATCACCGATACCCAGAGAGTGGCTGATAAACTTGGTGAACCACTTCGAGAGACTCGATCTTTCTACAGGCCTCTCTACGTACTCGCTAAGACTCAGCAACATTCCGTCGCTAAAAGCGTACTATGCTGCTATTCAGGCCTCGTCAGAAGAAAACCGAACGCTGCTCGATAGGTCGATTCTACAGCCTGCTATTTATATTCACGAGCAGTTGACTACACGCGTATTCAATCCTTTCACCTCCGCGATCAACACTGTTGCTTCGGTCCCCCAGCTTGTGTCGTCCATTGGCTTGTTCGGACTGGGTTCGTCCTCCAACGAGGAGCCTGAAGTTATGGATGAAGCGGTTGTGGAAGCCCCGCCATCGCAAGAATCGCTGGGCACGGAGCTCACAGGAAAATACCTACTAGGTGAGACAAGCGATGGTAGGATCACGAAGACGGTTCATCTGGGAGACTTTATCTTGGAGATGGTTGTGTACGAAATCAACGGGATACTGTTCACCTTGCTGTTCAGAGAGATTGGCCAGGAGCCTGATTTTTTTGCTACTCTCCAATCGCAGCTAGACGAGATTTACTCCTGCTATTTTAATGATGTGGTCGCTACGCAACTGAGATCCATGGAAAAAGACTTGAAAGAAAATTCAGATTTCTTCTATCTAGTATACAATCCGCTCAGCAAAGAGATCAAGACTTCTCTGCCGAATATCCCCGACTCGGATGATATCAGAGAAGTCAAAACTTCTGTGCTACCGTCCGAGGGAATAAGCAGGACGCAGATAATCAATCTCACCTTGAGCCTCATGACTCACATCCTGGAGAACCACGAGTTCCTGGGTCTGGAACCAGACGAGAAGGTTGTCAAAATCAACAGAAACTGGTGGTGTCTGCATAAGATGATCGACGGTAAAAGTGTGATCGCTCTTAAGAAATTTTCTCCTAGTGAGTTCAATTTGGAGGCCGACAATTTGGTTGCCTCTTTTGGAGCGGAGTTCTGCAAATGGTACAATGAGTCTATCGAAAGCGGATTTATCTAGAGCGGCGGTGCTTGATCACCCCCGTACAACACCCTGTTGACCTCACTCAGCGGCAAATCCCAAATTCCGCTGGTGGAAGAAAATAGATAGCGATCGAGGTCTTTTTTTTGGTATTGCGGGAGCTCTGTGATAACAACACCATCTGGGTCTGCTATTGTCCGAGGATCATCTAATGGGGGAGTTTTCACTTCTATGTTGTATAATGCAAGGGCCACGTACGTGTACATCATGGATACCAGAACATATGCGGGAATGACGAGAGCCCACCACCTTGACGGGTAGTAATATATACCAACGCTGTTGAGGAGCGAATCTGGGATCATGGACCAGCTCAGCCATATGAACAGGAAGATGAAGCTAATGACGTATGCCGCGAATCCTTTGTATTCCGCCTGGGACGTGATGTTCGTCGAGACAGTCACGTCCGACTCTCTGGCCAATGCGTCTGAGATAAATGCTAGATTTTCGGATGTGGAGTTGGCGGTGGCATTGATCAGGCTTGACGTCGAGTGGTTGGTGCTCAGATTGTACAAGGACGGAATCAGCGAGGTGATTGAGGAAGTGGACAGGGATATCATTCTATTTGCTGCAAACGGAGACGAGCTAGCGTGCCTTGGAGGCGGCGGCACCAACAGTGCCTGAGAGGACTGGCTGATCTGCGGTTGGGGCGAAAGAATCTCTTGCGAGCGCCCATTCTCCTGTTCCAGCTGGATAACTGGCATCGCTGGAGTATGGAATCAAATAAAATTGAATCTGCCAATTCGACTGCGTGTTGGCTAGTTTTTTTCTGAAGCAAATTGAATATAAAGCTAATAAAAACAAGAGTGACTAGGGCCATATCGAGTCATCCACTTGCCAACCAACTACATTAGACACACTTACTAATTTGAAAGTACAACACCAGCTCAGAAAACACGTGTTAGCCTTATTTTTCTCTTATCTGAACACATATACTAAGATAACACCATGGGTAAGTACTTATTCATCTTCACGATCGGAGCGATACTAACACATGGGCAATGCTTCATTGCCTTCATTAAGGACCTAAGAAAATGTCTTTGGGCGAGTTCTACGCCGACGAGAGTCTAGGCGGATCCTGGGCCGACGATGACATAGATATCAATTCGATCGCCGTGTCGCTCCACAAACCAGAGCCGTCCAATTACTTCAATCGCAGCGACCAAGGCTCCTTCGGCCGCGGCAATGGGTATGGTTCATATTTATCGGGTATGGGTGGAGACCATATGTTCAATGGCCGTGGAGGGAGGAACGATGCGATGCTTCGCAACTTGAAGCCTCCCTTTATTGCAAAGCTCACTAATCTCCCCGAAAGAGCTACCGGCAGGCTTGTATCTGACTTGTTCAAATCCAGATTTACTCAATTTGAAAAATGCAAGGTGCTGAAGGACCCGCACCCTTCTGCCCCACGATTTAATACCTCTTCGTCTGGCAAAGTGGAACGCAAATGTGCTTATGTGCAGCTTCCCAGCGTACGCGAATTACAGAAAGTGCTAAAGTGGAACGACGTGTTTATCGACAGACTGAGAATCGCTGTGGAGGTGGCTGATTTCCAGGATTTCGTGGACGTGCAAAAATACAATAAGGAGATTGGGTACGACGACGAGGAAGAGGAGAAGAAACAGGCACACAGCGAAAAAGCTCCAGTGGAAAAGCGCAAGATTGCTACGCGGCCCGTGAATGGCCAAGAAGCCGCTCCCGTGGGATCACCTTCCCCCGTCTCGTCGGCAGGGCAATCAAAACCCAAACCTAATCCTTTTGGAAATGCAAAACCTGTTGACACAGCCAGCAAGCTTCTGGCGCTCGAAAACCAAGAGAAGACTTTGGCTGCAGCCAAACCAGTCTCACAACCAAAATCAAATCCGTTTGGTGCTGCCAAACCCGTTGACGTTCTCTCGAAGCAATTAGAGATTGAAAAGAAATTACAGGATCTAGCCATTAACAGTACGACGTTCAAGACGATAGCTGGCGCTGAGAAGGAGCAGGAAAAAGAGAGATCTCTGTCTCCTAAGAAGAAGCACCAGCCACGGTCACAAGACAGTGTGACTGCTAAGATACAAGCCGGCAAGAGCTCCAGACCGGACAGCAGAGCCCGTGAAAAGAGACAGTCACGAAAGGAGGAGAGAAAAGAACGGGGTTCAAAGGAATCCGCAAATGCTGAAAGAGAGGACAAGAAAGGACGAGAGTCACCTTCGACACAGAAGGAGCAGGACTCTAAAGATGGCGAGACTGTGCCAGCAGAAGAGCAGAATCACGGCGGAGGCGGATTGCAGACGCCTACGGAGGACCAGAAAGCGGAGAAAACAGAAAATGAGGACACTGTCAAAAGCAGACCCATGTCCAGAAAAGAGTCCAAGTCTAAGGATGCAAAAAAAAATAAAAACGAGGTCAAGCCTGCAGAGACCGAGAAACAGCAAAGAGAATCCTCAAAAGACAACTCGGAAGGCAGTTCCAAATCAAAAGAAAAACCCAGTACAGCTCGCGAAAGAAGGCCAAAAGATGCCTCCCTTAGGAATCCCCACAACCCGCGGTACGTGCGCGATGGCGAGCCGCCTGTCCGTGGTAGAGGCAGAAGCAGGGGCCGTGGTGGCCGTGGCGTGAATATGCGGCCGAACGAGGGAACTACGCCAGCAGAGAATTGGGAGAGAGGAGACAAGCTTAGAGAGCTGAGCACGGACCAGAACTCCAATGCCAAAGAAACGTCGGTGAAACAAACGGAAACTGAAGCTAAGAAGGCTGTCGAGGATGACTCCCAAGCAGAAACCGAGAAAACATCGAGATCGTTTCGCAGGGGACGTTTTGGCGGACGAGGACGCGGACGTTTTGCAACGCACCAGTACACCAGCTTGAAGTATGTCAAGCCGGGTCTTGCCCGCAACGGGGAGCCGTTGAAGCAGAATGAGAAGGAGACTTAGGGTGCTCTTTGTACGGTATATAAAAAAACGCAGACTGCCGCAATGATCGGTATCGAGTGTTTTACAATGTAAAATCTGCGCATTGCACTCAACAACTAGACATTACGAAAATGCCTGTCAACCGCCAGCACGGCGCTCCCATCCGGGAAATAAATTCCCCGGTGATTTCTGATGGCCGTGCCCAGCGCTTTCGCGCCCTGGAATCTCTCAAGAGAATTTTTTCAGCGGCGGAGAGTATCACCGAATTTCCCACTCGCGAAATTTGCCTTGTGGCCGTGTGAAAGCGAGTACGCGCAGATTGCGACGGTGTGCGTTTCCACTACGCCAAAGGCGCAATGTAAGGATTTTTTTTGCAATCTGAGTACAGGAGGCATTATTTTTGCGAAACTAAATGAGCCACCAGCTTTTCCAGCTGGGACGCAGACCTCATCGCTGTGCTGCTGGTCAAAGTATCCGACACTTTTCGGGTACAGTTTTCATATTTTTCTGTAGCAGCCAGACACAGCGGGCCCGCCGGTAGCAAGCTGAATATTGTTTTGGCGTAGTTTTTCCGCTGGCCGAAAACATACAATCCGTGTGTTGCCAGCTGAATGGTGCCTAGGGCTATGGACGGGTTCGTCCATACGTCTGTGGAATTGGTTTTGACCAAAGAAATCAGCAGATATCTGTACTTCCCGCCATTTTTTTCTGTTGCTACCAAGACTTCAGCAGATGCGCTGATTCCTAGCTCCGCAGTCTTCTTGGCGATGATCTCATTGACTAGAACCCTCTGTTCCGGGTAAGCCGTCAAAATGGCTATCTCGCTTGCTGGGTAGCCCAGAATGACCATGTAGATGAACAACAGCGCGCAATATTCTGCTTCCTCCAGATTCTGAAAGCCGTGGCCAGCTGGCGACTCGCAGGTATTCACGGTTACAAACTGGCAAGCATCCTTGATTCCAGGGTTGGCAATCTCCAAAGGAGCTTCTAAGACAGTTCCAGGCGCAAACTGCGCAAGCTCCTGGCGAATATTGTGCTGGACTGTGAGATAGTCGGTAAATGGTAGCAGGGTGAGAAGAGACTGGGTTCTGGCCACCAGTGGATTTCCAACCACCGTTAGTGACTTCAACGAGACGGTGTTTCTTTCCAGTACAGAGCAAAACTCATAAGCGCTGAACAACGAGGCATCAAGAATGAAAAGATGGTCGTACTTCAGGTGCGTGTTTTCGTTGATTTCGTCAAATGCTAGAAAAGTTATTCGTTGCCCAAAATAACGAGCGTTGGGGTAATGCTGTATTTTATCGGCGAGCTCTAATTGGCGAAAGAGACTCAAGATTGCATTGTAGTGTTCGATAGGTTTTTCAACCTCGCCAAAGGGATAGCCCGTTTCGGGACTCTGGGAAAAAAAGGCCCACTTGGGTTCCACCACATTCTTGTAAAACGCATATGCCGACTGGAAGTCATAGATGTCTTCCGGATCGGTATCCAATGAGGCCGCCAACTTTCTCACGTTCGCCAGTGCCTCGTTATACTCGACAGGACGGTCCACAGAGACGTCCAGCGCATCAAAGCTCTTTCTCTTTCTTGCTACCACGAGGACTCTCCCATTGGAAGAGTTTACCAGCTGACTAACCTTCCCTGATTTTCCTGAACAGGTGGGCCCGGCGATGAACGTGAAATTTGAGTCATTCTGACTACTGCCCCTGTTGTCGTCATGCTCCGAAAAAAGTTGATCCATCCATTTTGGAAACTGGACTTCCAGATTACGAGTCTGGCCGCCAGCACTAATTGCATATTTGACGTCCGCAAGGTCCGCTCTATACTGTGCGTCCACAACAGCTGTAAGCCTAGAAAACCCACCCTTGCGCATTTCTTCAAGTTCCACTTTGAACGGAATAATTTTGTCACCGTAAAACACCCCATGCTCGGTAGCCAAACTCTTAGGTCCCTGCTGTTCTTCGGTGTTCAGTATAACTTCGCACTTCAAGCTGTCACTTACAAGTCCCCCCAGAGCTTCCTGTACAGTGATCTGCTCGACCGGAACACAGTACTTGCTGCTCTTCCCCTGCTTCACCCGTGCAAGAATGCTGTCAACGGCCTGCTGCAGCTGGCGTTCTGTCTGAGCCTCGTGTTGCAGCTGAGCGCGCTCCAAAAATTCCACAGCAGAAGAGAAACCTATGTCTGCAACGCTTTTCACGGGTTCCTGCTGCGCGATCTCAAGCCAGACGGAAAACTCTTTACTTGACGACCGAAGCTCAAGCTCATCATACAGTCTTTCGATGGTATTTTCCGAAACAACACTGACAAACGTCTCAAAGCTGCGCCTGAGCTCTAACAACTCGCGATACATGCACACCTCCGAGCTCAGGCAAAGACGTCTGAATGCGCGATCGCTCACGTCAGCATCCTTGTAGATATACGAGAAAAGCAGCTGGAAGTGAGGGTCTGCCCTGAAATGAGCCAGAAATCCCGCCTGTCTCAAATACTTTCTGTTTGGTTTGTGGTTGGTGATGCGTACCACAAAATTGACGTCGTCCAGAGCCAGAGTCTGCCTTCGAGTGATTAATTCCACCACGCTCTGCAGATATTGAGATACTGCTCCAAACTGACCATAATCATAAATGACACAGAGCAGAGCGCTGAGTCTTTCAAAGTTGACATCTATTGCTTTCTGGACGAGCACTGGCACTTTCTTCTCCAGGACGCCATCGACCAGCTCTCCTTCAGCCAGCACCAGTCGGCACAACAACACTGTATGAGCAGCAGAGCTCTTTGGTCCAAAATGATCAACAATCCAAGACAACTCTCCATTGGCAAGCAACAGCGCAAGCTCGTTGGGCTCGCAAACAGAAAGCTGACGCACCTTTTCGGTCTCTGCTTTGGTTCGCTTCATAGGCTGTCGTAAAGTGGTGTCTGGGTTTCTAAATTTTTCAGATAAAAATTTTTATACATCATGAACAGAGGAAGAGGAGGATTCAGAGGCGGTCGCGGAGGCAGATCCGGGCCACCAGTGCCGCAAGGCCCACCAGATAAGGTCTTCGAGATGGGGGAGTTTGTGCACGCGTGCGAGGGAGACATTGTTTGCAAGAGTATCAACGAGAAAATCCCATATTTCAACGCTCCAATATACCTCGAGAATAAGACCCAGGTCGGAAAGGTGGACGAGATCCTCGGACCTCTGAACGAGGTGTTTTTTACCGTGAAGCCGAGCGAGGGTGTCCAGGCCACATCTTTCAAAGAAGGAGACAAATTTTACATCGCTGGTGACAAACTGCTACCTTTAGAGAGATTCCTGCCGAAACCTAAGGCTGTTGGTCCAAAACCTCCAAAGAAGAAGAGCTCGCGTGGAGGTGCTTCTGGCGGCCGTGGCGGCGCTCGCGGAGGCTTTTTCAGAGGCAGAGGCGGAGCAAGGGGCTCCTCCAGAGGAGGCTTCTCTAGAGGCGGAAGCCGCGGAGGAAGGGGGTCGTTCAGAGGCAGAGGCAGAGGATTCTGAGTGAAGCTACGTAATATATCGCCAAACGTAATCTGGAGCATTGTACGTTATTTGATTGAAGGGTAGAAAATGATATTAGGTGAAGTCTTCGTCGAGTTGTTCAGGGGCCTCCACAACGCTGGTCTTTATCTTGTTGAGTATTCTAATCTTGAAGGCATCGAGTCTGGAGAACTTGTCGAATTCTTTGGCGCTATTTGCAATGTCGTCAGGACTTCCGTTACGCACTGCCTCCACCAACTTGGAAGCAAACTCGTACTCTCTCGTGCTTTCGAACGTGGGGTCCCATTGGGTGAATCTTTGGAGAAGAGCATTCCCGCTCGCGTAGTCGTTGTTGTCTGCAAGCCTGCACAAAATTGCTTTAAGGAAATACTCCTTCAGACTCCATTTGGCCAGGTTGTTGTTCAAAGACTCTTTAGCCACTCGTTCATAGACAACGGCTGCTTTCGCATATTGCTGAACAGTGTTGTCGCAGTAGAGATCAGCAGCTTTTAGAGCAAATTTGTTGCCCAACGCCGAGGCCGAATCTCCTTTATACCATTCGCTGGCGTCTTCGTAGCTCTGGATCGCCTTTGGAATATCATTCAGCTCATTTTCATAGAGTTCGCCCAGATCGGCTTTGAAATTGGCACTGCGTCTGAATTGACCCTTGCGCACAAACATTTCGATCGCCTGCTCAAGACATCTTGCCGCTTCGATAGGAACCTCGGTTTTGTAGCATTTAAAGGCCTCGACCAGTGTGTTGGCAGCCTCATCTGGCGACTCTGCCAGCTTCTGGCTCTCAGCAGCCTTCTCGAAGGTCTGTCCTGCTTGGGTATTTCTCTTTTGTAACTTGTAAAGGTTTGCAGCTTGGACATACAGATCGCCGGCCTCTTCATATCTGGATTGCTGCGACGATCCGAAGAAAGAGGCAAGTCCTCCCACCTTCTTGCACTTCTTGTCGGCCTGACTGTTAGCTCAGAATGTGCGATTTAAGAACTTACCTCTGCAATCAATTGTTCTGGACTAGACATTTTAAATGTTAATAACAGAAACAATTTAACAAATTACGAAAATATATCTGCTGGTATCAGGTCCACCTAAGCATCTTCCGTACTAAAGCAGGGCTGTCATGGCATTTGTCGGAAACGTCAATACTTCGGTAAATTTGCTACGGCCACTACTTACAGTTTGAGGTGTCCGGTTCGATCCTCGCGGTCGGCACTCCACTGCTACGAGAAATCTGGCTCGTGGGTGCCAGCAATGAACAGTGTCACCACTGAAGGGTAGAAATACAGCACAGTTCACTGTCCGTGGGGAGGCGAACGGGATCGCATCTTGCTGGTTTCCGCAAGGATGGGGTAGTCGTCGTGGTGGATTAGTTGATTGTGACCGACAGCTTATTTTTACCAGTCCCGCCACCTAGTCTCTCCATTGTACGTAGCCTTCCTGATCAAGTCTAGCTTTCAACGGGGCGCTCTTGCCATCTATTCGGTTCATGGATCTCAGGAGTCCTATTAAATTACATCCTCTCAATGACAATGGCACTGGCTCCTCCACCACCGTTGCAAATACCTGCAGCACCGTACTTGCCGTTCTCTTGGCGAAGGACAGAGCACAAGGTGGTGACAACTCTGGCACCCGAACAGCCAAGCGGATGGCCAATAGCAACAGCGCCTCCGTAAACATTAATCTTGGCCGGGTCCAAGTTCAGGAGCTTGGTGTTGGCAAGACCAACAACAGAGAAGGCCTCATTTAACTCAAAGAAGTCAATATCGTCCATCTGGAGGCCGGCGTGCTTGACAGCCTTAGGAACAGCCAGCGCTGGAGCGGTAGTGAAGTCCACTGGAGCATGAGCGGCGTCGGCCCATCCAACGATTCTGGCAATTGGCTTGACACCCAGCTCTGCAACCTTCTTGGCACTCATCAGGACAACTGCTGCTGCTCCGTCGTTGATTGGGGATGCGTTAGGAGCGGTGACAGTGCCGTCCTGCTTGAACACGGTTCTCGCAGATCTCAATTTGGCCTCGTTCAGCTTGCCAGTCTCTTCGTCGATCTCGACAACGGTGTCCGGCTTGCCTCTGGTGCCCTTAATGGTGATAGGTGCGATCTCGGACTTGAACTTGCCCTCGGCGTGGGCCTTCTGTGCCTTTGTGTACGAGGCAATGGCAAACTCGTCTTGGTCCTCTCTGGAGATGTTGTGGTCCGAGGCACATTTTTCGGCGGCCACGCCCATAGCTTTTCCATCGTACGCGTCGTTTAGGCCGTCGCGTGAAATTCCATCCACCATGGAGCCATCTCCAAATCTAAGGCCGCCACGGGCACCTGGGAGGTAGTAGGGAGTATTAGACATCGATTCAGCCCCGCCTGCAACGACAATGTCGCCGCTGCCCGTCAGGATGTGTTGGGCACCGAAAATGATAGCCTTCATGCCTGAGGCGCAGACCTTGTTAATAGTGGTGGCTGGTGTGTCCTCGCCAAGGCCAGCCTTCAAAGCGACCTGTCTGGCAGGTGCCTGGCCCACGTTAGCCTGTAAAACGTTGCCAAAGAAGATCTCCTCAACATCGGTTGGCTTAATCTGAGGCACTTTTTCAACCGCGGCCTTGACAGCGTGGGCACCCAGGTCCACATACGACAAGGACGACAGAGCTCCCTGGAAAGAGCCAATAGGAGTACGGGCAGCTGCAACTATGTAAACTTGTTCTTTGGACATAGCAGTTGGTGGGAAACGAATTTGGGTTAGAAAAATATACCCATCACAAGCTAAACGAAAGCACGAGCACAGCCTGAAAATACAAAAAAAATTGTTCTGTATTATTATATTATTACGTACATCAGATCTGGCCCTGGATCTCGATATTGGTCACAGAGAAACGTTCACTCTGCTCTTTTTGATACTTTTCCAACTGATCCAGGGTCCAGACACTGACTCCCTGTTCCTGGTCCTTTGGCTCTATTGGCTGAGCCAGTGTCCGCAGGAACTTCTTGGCACTGGCTACGGCCATATCCGTGGAGAGATTTATATCTGCATCAGAAAGCGCCTGGGCGATCCACTTTGGAAGCTGCGACTTCTTTTTTGCAAATCTTCTGTCAGCCAAGACCATTACGCCGTAGTCGTCTTTTCCTCGAAGAACTCGTCCGAGACATTGCGCGGCGTGCCGCATCGCGTCGAAGGAAAGGAAGTCGTTCTCCCTAATCTGGTAGTGGTCTCTTAGGAACTCCAATCTGGCCTTCAAAATTCTGCTCTCTGTGTACTGGAATGGAATACCGATCATGAGCACCGTGCGGCCATAGTGGTGGTCGAAATCGATTCCTTCCGACACTTTACCACGCGCCACAGAAAGAAGCACCGCGCCTCTGCCGTTGGAACAGGCTTTTCGATACGTCTCGAGTGCCAGCGACGTTTCCTGCGCGTCGGGGGTCTCCACCAGAATGAGCTTGTACTTCCAGACCTCGTCCAAAATTCCCATGGTCTGCCATTGTGAGATGATGCTCTCCATATACAGATAGGACGGGAAGAAGACCACCATGCCGTCCGGAGTAATTTTAGAAAATTCGATCAACAATGTGCCGTAGTTGCGCACCACGCTGGGATCGTTCCTAATCTCAAACCGCGACGAGATGGCCACCTGATCCGAGCCTTTAGTGACAACCATTGGCAGAAACGATCTTCTGTCCAGAGTCATGGTGTACGACTCCTGGACAACAGTCTCAAAGTTCAGCATTCTTGGATACATGTCCAGCGGAGAGATGGTGCCGGAGGTGATGATGACAGAGGAGAAGCGTTCGAATATCGGCTTCATCGCGATGGACGCGTCGAGACACGCAAATCGTAAAATCGGGTTCGGAACAGTGGCGTTTTCCGTCTCGTACGGCTCGAGAATCAGCACGAACCCGGTGTCGTAGGTGGACACGAGAGTTCCAAACGTAGCGATGTCCTTCAAAGCCATGAACTCCTCGATTTCCACCACTTCCAGCGTCCTGACAAGCAGCGACAGCCGTTCGGAGCAGAATCTTAATGGCTTGCGGTCAATGAAGGTCAGCTGCTTCAAGTGCTGCAAAAACGAGACAGGCGTCTCACTGATGACATGCAGAACCTTCATCCGTGTTTTGAGATACTCGATGAACCGTTTGAGGAAAGAGATAAAGTGCTCAGCACGACGGATGCTTCCAGGAACGGCCTCGGTCAAAACGTCGTCCGGCAGAACAGGATTCACCATAAACGCGTCCTCGTCTGTGTGGTATATTTCAGACTCCCGCAGCCCTTCAACGAGCTTCTCGTATTCGTCCTGGAGTCGTTTGCTGTCGGTTTTCTTCACCTCCTCAACCTTCCGTGCCAGAGCGTTGGCACCCTTGCTTGCGCGGCGCAAGACGTCTTCTGTCAGATCCAGCGAAAGAGACTCGATACACACGTTGTCGATGTTGTGCGCCTCGTCAAAAATGATGATGCTGTCTCGCGAAAGCTCCTTGGAAACTCTTTCTGCAATCTTGGGGTCCAATAAATAATGGTACGAATAAATAATGATGTTGCAGAATGGCATCATCCGTCTGATGGTGAAGTACGGACACGTTCCCTCCATCTTGCAGTATTTCAAAAGCTGCTCGAACGAGTACACTCCCGGAGGGACAAGGTTTGCAGGGTCTTTTTCGTACAGCTTTTCGTGGAATGAGCACAGCTGGTCTGTGCTCGCCTGGCCCTGCTCTATGCGGGCTTTCAGCTGCCCGTTGGTCATTCGCCGGCACATCTCGTCCACAACCACGCCCTTTCGTTCTCTGGAGGCCACAGGGTGCAGACAGAGATTTTTACGACTCGTCAACCCCAGTCCTCTGAAGTCTTCGACATAACCTAGTTCCTTAGATCTGTACTCCATGAGCTTGTGCAGCTCAATCAGTGCCTTTTCGATTTCCGACATGGTACGCGAGCAATACACAATTTTGCGGTGTTCGGGGTAGTGCATCTGGTACGCCACAGTCAGCGAGAGCAGAGAAATCGTCTTGCCAGTGCCAGAGGGCATTTCCAGTATACAGTTGCCTCCTACGTCTAGGGTCCGTTTGATGTCACACATGTACGCATACTGTTCGGGATAGATCTTCGGATAGGGGAAGAGAACAGGGAGGTCGTCGATAAAGAACCTGGCGTTAGCTGAGACTTTGCGTGCACTTACTTCATGGAAAATAGGTTATTTTATTTCGATCAAATTGAAAATTCGAAAAATTCCTGAAATATGTCATTAGGTAATCGAGATATGCCTACTACTTATCGCCCACGTTGGCGAAGCCGGTCACAGTCCAGTCCTGCGGCTGGGGAATCATATTGCGGGTGCACTACTGGTGTGTTACTGGTGCACTACTGTTGCACTACTGGTGTGTTGGCGGGGTGTATCAGCAGGAGAGATATGTCACAAGTTCCAGATGGCTAAACAATTGCGTCTCACATTGTCGGCTCGTCAATTCTGATTCAAGGCAGCGAATCAGACTCTCTGTAGCAAAGGTACTGCAAATACAGCACCGGTACGGTGGAGCCGCTAAACAAATTTGTGCCATATCTGTGAGCACCTGTCTCAAATCTAGATTAATTTCAGTATTTTATTTATTTTATTTATTTATTTATTTTATTATTTATTTATGTTTGATCCCAGGGTGCATGTGCGATACTTTCTCCGGTGTCTCGGGGTTCTGCCGTCGATCTACGAAGCCGAAGAGTCCAACAAGCTCGCGCTGATCTATTTCTGCGTGTGCGGACTGGATCTGCTCAACGCGCTCGATCAGCTGCCCGAGAAGGTTGAGACGATCGACTGGGTGTACAGCCACTGGGTCGAGAACGACGACTATGGCGGCTTCCGCGGGTCGGCCATCTACAGGGACACCGGGCCATACGATGTGCCGAACCTGGCGGCCACCGGGTTTGCATTGCAAATTCTAGTGACGCTGGGCGACAACCTTTCTCGGCTCGACAGGAACAAGGCTCGCCGCTTTGTGGCTCGGTGCCAACGGCCCAACGGCTCCTTCAGCCCGGTGGTGGGCTTTGGCGAGGAAGATCTGCGCTACTGCATGCTGGCCATGACGATCAGCCGGCTCCTGGAGGGCACGGCGGTGGACAGCGGCCGACTTTTCGAGTACGTGCGGTCGACGCTTGCTTTCGACGGAGGACTGTCTATGAGCGCCGGCGGCGAGTCGCACGCAGGGCTGACGTACTGCGGGCTGGCTGCGCTCAAACTGGCCGGCAGGCTGGATTTGCGCGAGTGGCAGCCGACGGTGGATTTTCTGGTGCAACGGCAGATTCACTACGGCGACTTCAACGAGCGCGAGCTCGAGAACGAGTACGCAGATGAAGACGACAACGGCGCGTTCAACGGCCGCGTCAACAAGTACGGCGACACGTGCTACGCGTTCTGGTGTCTTGCGGCGCTGGAGCTGCTCGGCAAAGCAGACCTGGTGGATGCTGCGGCCGTAAAGCGTTTCTTGCTGGAGCAGACACTGTCGCCGACAATGGGTGGCTTCTGCAAAACCAACGCGCCGGACGAGCTGCCAGACCCGCTGCACTCGTTTCTGGGCGTCGCAGCGCTCGGCATCATAGGCACTCCCGGCATTGCTCCGGTAGACGTGACAGTGGTGTTACGGAAGGACAGAGTGGTCTAGAATATATACAGGCTAGCGGTTGGGCTCGAACTTGATGATCTCCTCGTAGATGGCCCATGCAATGGCCGCGCTGAAGGCTTTCCTAATGATGCGGAGCGTGATGCCGTCAAACAGACGCGTCCAGTGGCTGGCTACCAAAACGCGGCAGGTTTTCCAGAAAGTCGGGCACGTGCGCGGGCTGAGCTGCATGTTGGTCTTGATGGTGTCGAACGGCGACGTGAGCGCGGTGGCCATGCACGCAGCGACCAGGGCAGAACACGAGTTGATGGCCGTCGACCTCGTTGTGGTGTAGAGGTGTGCGGGAGAGGCCTCTGCGTCGGAGATGAAGCGCGGGGCCCAGCTCTTGCACTTCTGGTAGAACAGCACGTACAGCCCGGCGTAGGGGCAGTCGCGCAGACACGTGGCGCCGTATCCGCGGAAAAAGCCCACCGGGCCCTCGTTTTTCAGGATCTGTTTCACGGCGTCGCTCAGAGAAGTGTATTGGTACAGACTGGACTCGAAGCGCACCTTTAGGATGGTGACGGGCATTGTGAGCAGGCCGACAAGGCCGCGGGAGACGGCGCCGGCGGCCAGGTCGAGCGAGGACGAGAGTTTGGGCAGTTTCGACGACGAGGGCAGGGTGTCTGTCTGGGGCTGTAATCTGACGAGGCTGGTCCGCACAGCGTTCAGGGAGGTGAGATAGAGGGCGGAGCCGATGGACGTCCGCAGCGCGCTGGGCAGCGTCCCGCGCCAGAGCTCGAGCGGCGAGCGGATCTGGGCAACGACGTTTCTGATGGAGGTTTTGTCCTGCTGGATCCGCGTTTTCAGCAGGTCCAGCGGCTGCAAGCACACGGCCGATGTGAGGCCGCCCGTGAACCCGGCAACGAGGTGGGCGTAATTGGAGGGGGGTCTATCCATCAGACGATGGAGAATGAAATACTTGAATATTTAAAATATTTATTTGGGGCGCACTGGAAAAACGAGAAATTATTAGCTATTTATTTAACGTCACTGCGTGCATAGTCTCAGAAGTCCCCGCCAAAGTCTCCGCCGCCATAATCGCCTCCGCCATAATCGTTGTTCTCGTAGATCACGGTGTCTGGAGTCATCATCTCGCCCAAAAGCAGGCCACCGAGCGCGCCTGCTCCCAGGCCCCCGAGCATGCCCATGCCGCCCATGCCTCCAAACCGGCTTCTGGACGGCTGGTTGTAGTTAGCAGGGTACTGCTGCGGGTACGGAGCCGGCTGCGCGTAGGGCGGCTGTCCGTATGGCGGCTGTCCGTAGGGCTGTGGATATGGCTGTGGTGGATACTGCGGATATTGCTGTGGGTATGGCGGATATGGCTGAGAGGCGCCAAAGTTTGCGGATTGGGGCTTTGCAGTCGACGGCATGTTGATTCTCGGCCCCTTGCCTGCGCTCTCCGGGGCCGGATTATCGACCACCTCTGAGTATGGAGGAGGAGCGTCCTCCTTGGGCTCGCCGAAACTGGTGCCCTTGGGGGCCTCCCATTGCGATTTGCCTGTTGATTCGTCGACATAGAACCATTCTGGTGTTAGAAGCCAAGAAGGCGGTTACTTACCATTGTACGTGTCGTCCCAAACGGCGACCCAGCCCTTGGGGACGATTGGCTTGTTGTTTTTGTTGCCCATGGAGAAATGACGGAAGCAGCCAGAATTTATAAATCGGAGATTATATAAGCGTGGCGCAAGGGCATGACCGATAAATAATAGTGTGACGCAAAATTCAGGGTGCCAGAATTGACTAGCAGATTAGAGTTAGAAGTGCCATTTTCGCAGATCTAGATAAAGTAAACAAAAGCCATCAACGCGAAGAGGAGCGGAGAGGTGGCAGAGCGGGCTGCGCCGCCTTCGAAGGCGGCCACCGCGCTGGCAGTGGCGGAAGAGCCCGACGCACTGCTCGAAAACGTTCTGGTGTAGAGGGTGGACAGGCTGGCAGAGTGAGAAGATTCACTGCCGGCAGCAGCAGACGAAGTCGTCTGCGCAGGGGACGAGCCGGAGGCTGGAGTATTTCCTGGTGTAGAGGTGTTCTGGGACGACGCGGAGGCCGTGGTTCGGGCGTTGCCCGGGAAGTTGGCCGGGCCGGCGACGGAAGCTGTCGCGTGGGCGGTGGCCGCAGAGGTGGCGGGAGCCGCCTGAGACGAAGGGCCCGTGAGCGGCGTAGAGGTGGTGGAGCCTGCGACTTGGGAGACCCCGGTTTCAGCCGTTCCGGACGGCTCAGAGGCCGGGGAGACAGTTGAGGCTCCTGTGAGGGGCTCGGTGGGGCTGGTGGACAAGCTGGAAGAGCCTGGCGTTGCAGGCGAGGAGCCCGGAAGTCCTGGGGAGGAGGTGCCGGATAATTCTGAAGAGGAGGTGGTTATTTCTGATGAGGAAACGGCTATTCCTGGAGAGGTGGTGGTTCCTGGAGAGGTGGTGATTATCTCTGAAGATTCTGTGCCGGAAAGTCCTGAAGACGTACCGGCTGTTTCTGAAGAGGTGCTGGTTTCTGAAGATTCTGTGCCAGCTATTCCGGAAGAGGCGCTGGTTGTTTCTGAAGACGTGCCAGTTATTCTTGAAGACGTGCTGGTTTCTGAAGATTCTGTGCCAGTTATTCCTGAAGAGGTGCTGGTTATTCCGGAAGACGTGGTGGTTATTCCTGAAGAGGCGCTGGTTGTCTCTGAAGACGTGCCAGTTATTCCTGAAGACGTGCCAGCTATTCTTGAAGAGGTGCTGGTTGTTTCTGAAGATTCTGTGCCGGAAAGTCCTGAAGACGTACCGGCTGTTTCTGAAGATTCTGTGCCAGTTATTCCTGAAGAGGCGCTGGTTGTTTCTGAAGACGTGCCAGTTATTCCTGAAGACGTGCCAGTTATTCCTGAAGAGGTGCTGGTTATTCCTGAAGACGTGGTGGTTATTCCTGAAGAGGCGCTGGTTGTCTCTGAAGACGTGCCAGTTATTCTTGAAGAGGTGCTGGTTGTTTCTGAAGATTCTGTGCCAGAAAGTCCTGAAGACGTACCGGCTGTTTCTGAAGAGGTGCTGGTTTCTGAAGATTCTGTGCCGGCTATTCCGGAAGAGGCGCTGGTTGTTTCTGAAGACGTGCCAGTTATTCTTGAAGACGTGCTGGTTTCTGAAGATTCTGCGCCAGTTATTCCTGAAGAGGTGCTGGTTATTCCTGAAGACGTGGTGGTTATTCCTGAAGAGGCGCTGGTTGTTTCTGAAGACGTGCCAGCTGTTTCTGAAGATGAGAAACCAGGAAGTCCTGAAGATGTGGTAGCGGTTGTTCCTGAGGACGCTGTGCCGGAAGGTCCTGAAGAGGTGCCGGTTTCTGAAGACTCTGCGCCGGTGGCGCTGGTGGAAGTGCGCGACGTGGCTGGGGTAGACTCTCCGGCTGTGCCTGTCGAGGACGCTGCGGACTCCGTTGAAGCACCCGTGGCCACGCGAGAGGACGAGCTGGAATGGGTGGAGCTGGTGGAGGCGGCAAGGCCCGTAGACGTCTCAGACGATGCTCCCGAGGTAGCTGCGCTAGTAGCTCCTGTTCCCGTTCCGCTTGAAACCTCAGTAGCAGTGTTTGCTGAACTGGTTGAGACGGCTGAAGTGGCCTGCGAGCTGGACTGAGTGGCGGAAGTTTCCGAGACACACGTTGGGCAGGCTGTTTGGGAACCAGAAGCGGACGTGGCCGAGGTCTGCGGAGCCGAGCTTGCGGATTCTGAGCCAGAGGAGCCGGAAGAGACAGACGTCTGGGAGCTGGAGCCCGAGGCAGCAGTTGAGGAAGCAGTTGAAACGGCGGACGAGCTAGGGGTCTGCGGCTGTCCTGGCGTGGACGCCTCGCTCGAGCCTGAGGTCACGGAGCCGGCAGAGCTGCTTTGGCTGAGGCCGGAGATGCCGGCCACAGTGCTGCTCGAGGCACTGCCAGGTCCGCTGGACGCTGGCCTGCTGTGGCTGGTGGTGCTGCTGGAAGCGCCAGTCACGTGACTCGAGCCGCCAGCGGTGCTGCTGGATGCGCTGGAAGCTCCAGTTGATGAGGCGCTATTTTGGCTGGAAGTGCTGGAAGTTCCGCTGACAGCACTTGAGTAGCCAGGGACGACAGTCGACTGGCCCGCCACAGAGCTCGTGCCGCTGGAGGAACCAGAAGCAGAGGAGCTGGACTGGCCAGCAACAGAAGAGCCGGCGGTGCTGGAGTACGTACTGGAGCCGTTGAAGCCAGCTGAGGAGCTGGAAGCAGAGCTTGGGCTAGTTGCGCTGCTCTGGCTAGAGGCGCCGCTGGAGGCGCCACTCGACGGAGCAGAGATGTAACTGGAGGTCGGAGATCCACTTGAACGGGTCGAGCTGGTTTGGCCAGATGTCACTGGTGCAGAGCTATAGCCAGACGAGCCAGAGGCCAGTGTGGAGCTGGAGCTCTGATTGGAGACAGTGGCAGACTGGCGGGAGGACGAGGCCGAAGATGCGTTAGATGCTGGGCTGGAAGCAGAGCTGGAGCCGTAGCTGGAGGCAGGGCGAGAGCTTGAGCCATAACTGGAAGCAGGCCGAGAGCTTGAGCCATAACTGGAGGCAGTGTTGACAGAGCTCGATCCATAACTTGAGGCAGTGTTGGCAGAGCTGGAGCCGTAGCTGGAGGCAGGCCGAGAGCTGGAACCATAACTTGAGGCAGTCTTGACAGAGCTCGATCCATAACTTGAGGCAGTGTTGACAGAGCTCGAGCCATAACTGGAAGCAGTGTTGACAGAGCTGGAGCCGTAACTTGAGGCAGTCTTGACAGAGCTCGATCCATAACTAGAAGCAGGCCGAGAGCTGGAACCATAACTGGAGGCAGTGTTGACAGAGCTGGAACCATAACTGGAAGCAGTTTTGACAGAGCTCGATCCATAGCTGGAGGCAGTCTTGACAGAGCTGGAACCATAACTAGAGACAGGCCGAGAGCTGGAACCATAACTGGAAGCAGTGTTGGCAGAGCTGGAGCCGTAGCTGGAGGCAGTCTTGACAGAGCTCGATCCATAACTAGAGACAGGCCGAGAGCTGGAACCATAACTGGAAGCAGTGTTGACAGAGCTTGAGCCGTAGCTGGAGGCAGTGTTGACAGAGCTTGAGCCGTAGCTGGAAGCAGTCTTGACAGAGCTTGAGCCGTAGCTGGAGGCAGGCCGAGAACTTGAGCCATAACTGGAGGCAGTCTTGACAGAGCTCGAGCCATAACTGGAGGCAGGGCGAGAGCTCGATCCATAGCTGGAGGCAGTGTTGACAGAGCTCGATCCATAACTGGAAGCAGGCCGAGAGCTCGAGCCATAACTGGAGGCAGGGCGAGAGCTGGAGCCATAGCTGGAAACAGGGCGAGAGCTCGATCCATAACTGGAAGCAGTGTTGGC